ATAAATAAATAAAGTTTTATTGGGACACAGTCACCACACCCATTTGTTTCTCGATTTTCTGATTGATTTCATGCTGCACCAGCAGAGTGGAGTCGTTGTGATAGAGACTCTGTAGCCTGTCAAGCCCCCAGTATTTGCTCTCTGGCCCTTAAAGGAAAAGTGTTCTGGTCCCTAGGTAAGGAGGAAATATTTGAATGTGGATGAAATGTGAGGATGGTTCACTGAACTGTTTAGAATAAAGTGAGAGTGTGATCAGTACTTGCCAACGAATTGGATTCTAACTGAATTAGTGCTGCCCTTCCTAGGAATGTGGGAAGACACAGTTAGTTATCTGATAAGAGTAGAAAAAGAGGAACACAGTGTGTCACACAAAATGTCATCTTAAAGCTAGAAATTGCCATTACATTGTGAATGCTAATGGGCCTCATTTTAGAATGAAACATTACTTATTTATATTTTTTAAAGTGAGACTGTAGTGCCATCAGCCAATATGAATGTATTTGTTTTTCCTTTGCCTCAATTTTCTTTCACCTAAAATGTTGATTGTGGCCATATTTATACCAAGAATTCAGAGCTATAATTTATACTTATCTAGCTTATAAATGATTTAGTGGAAGCAGAATCTTCAAGGTTGGAAATTTAAAAGTAAACAAAAAAGGGTTGTAATGAGGGCCGTTACAGTTCTATCGCTGTGGTAGAATCCTGAGGTCCTAGAGCCATGCCCATGTGCTCTTTCCCTCTCAATGTAATTGCCTTGGGACTTACTGATTGTCCACTGGGCATCCAGTACTGGGTCATACCTAAAATTACAGAGTGTCATGACTATGTGACACACCCCAGGCTTGAGAGGGACCACTGTTTTTTTGAGGGAGCTAAAATTAACTTCGTATAATAGTAAAAGAGATTATAGAATAAAGAGTTTTTAATTCCATTTAAGTATTTTCTGTTTTATAATACATGAACCAATAAGTATGATGAGCTGATAAGAAGGGAAAACAGCAGTGTTCATGTGACAGATAATCTTTGAGCACCTGCCTTATGCTCTGGAAATGCAAAATTGTGCAAATATGTGAGGCATACACCATCCCTCCCACAATCTTGATCCTCGGTTGGGTTTGATAATGTGTTGCAATGGGCATACAGGACTCATGACACCATACTCAGAATGATGGGTTTATTAGGTCACAGTTCAGGGTCAGAAATGCTCAGAGCACAGTTGTTCTGCCAATGCTGACAAATGCACATAGGACACTCCATGCCACCATAAACCTCAGTCTGAAGGCACTCGGCTTTAGCCCCAGGGATCAGTAGACCTAGCTCTCCTACCTAAGTGCCTAGAGGCACCCCACTCTACAAGCAAGCTTCCTGCCCAAAGTCACTCAGCTTTACTTGCTCCATGAGCTGGGAAGTCCACTGCTCTGTCTTGCGCTCTGGTTCTTGGTTCTGCTGCTGCTGCTGTCCTCTGCTACTCCTTCAGTGTCATAGCTTTCTGTCCCTGGGTATTGGAGGTTCAATGATCAGAGATCTCAGGTACCAAAGAGTGTGCTCCCTTCCTGGCTCCTCCTTGATGGTAGTAATATCCCCAATCCTGCTTATGAGATGTTTCATTTTATACTGTGTGGCACTGTAGGATCGGCAGTTCAGGCCCACCAGCTACTCCTCAAAAACTCTGTACAGTGTTGGAACCAGCTTGATGGCGTTTAACAATAGAGTTCCGAATTTTTATAATTATGTTTACTCTGTTAATATCTATAGCTGAATTATTTATCTTATCAGTATCTCCTCCCACCTTCTGTTACACAGACCCAGCAGGGCAAAAATGTTTGGTGGCCATTACAGACTGTGGCTAGAAGAGACATTAATAATTCACTGCACCACAGTTAGCATTATCATAGAAGGCATCATCAGCGAGTTGGCACCTAGAAGTGTTGGTACAATTCAGATAATTCAAAAAAAAGCCAGGGGGTTTTCCTAGGCAGCAGGAATAATTATAAAGAACAGAATAAAAAGAATGAAAATGGTATAGACTTCTACAGTAAGATGGCAGAGTAGGCAGACTCAACCAAGCAGACCCTGTGCAACAAAGACATGGGAGACCAAAAGAATCAGTAGGTGACCCTGGAACCATAAGCTAAAGAAGCCAGGACAAAGAGGTGGCTTCAATGTCAGCTAGAAAAGGAAGCTCAACAGGAGCAGCGACAGAGGAAAACAGGCAGGCTGTTAGCTGGTGTGGAGCAGTGCAGCCATCTTGAGCTGTTGAGAGAGGTTCTTGATACAGTGAGCTGCAGGCACAGGACTCAGCTGAAGGTTGGCAGCAAGGGGGTGGGTCTCTCCCTTGTTCCATGCCCTTCTGGTAGCCTTGTGAGTCCCTGCTCTTACCAGCTCAGCAGCCAGTGATACTCCCTTCTGCACAACCTCAGCTCTTCTTGGGGTCAGGTGCCAGGTGTACTACCCCTTTTTGTGGAGGCATATGCTCCACAAACAGTGAACAGAGAACTCGGTTCACACTTCCAGTCTTCGTCACACCCATAACAAGACAGGTAATGAGTGACTGAAAATACACCTACATACAATCATCAATTAAATATAAATACACCCATACCACAATATCTCCAAGAAAACAGTTTCTGCTTACATGAAGAAACAAGATAGTATGCATCAAACAAATGACCAAAATACAGAGTCAGAAAATATAACACCAGAAATGGCATCAGAACTACTTGAAAAATAAATCCAGAAAAATTATATTTAGGTACCTTCAACTGATTGAGAAAAAGACCAAGGAGAACACAGAGAAAACTTTACAAGAATTCAGAACCATACTACAAAAACAAACTCACAGAAGAAATGAAAAATCTTTACGAAAACAGCAGTTAGAAAGTCAGATGAGTAAACTAAGACTTCAGAATAGATAGTACATTGAAAGGGCAAAGAAATAGAATTAAGTCAATGAATGCCAAATTGCTGAACTTGAAGACAAATCTTCTAGATATTCATCTACTAGAGGAACGCTAAGGAGTCCTGGTCTGGCACTTGAGTTAAGGCACTGGACTGCAAGGTCAATTTATACCACAAGGTCGGCAGGTCAAGCTTACCAGGTGCTCCTTGGAAACCCTATATAGGGTCACTGTGAATCAGAACCAACTTGACAGCTCTTAACAACAACAAACAACAGAGGAACAATAAGAAAAAATAATAGAAAAATTCAAAGAAATCTTAAGATTTATGTGGGACACTATCAAGAAGAATAGCTTACAGGTGGTAGGAAGAGACAAGAAAAAAAGAAATTGTTCCAAAGTTGTTAGAAGAAAACTTACCTAGTATCATAAAAAATGAGAAGATAGCCCTTCAAGAAGTTAAACTAACTTCAAGCAGGATAGATCCCAAAAGGAAATCACCAACACATATTATAATCAAACTTTTCAAAATTAAAGACAAGGAAAGAATATTGAGAACAGCTCGGGAAAAACTCAGTTACCTATAAAGGAGAACTAATAAGATTGAGCTCTGATGTCTTAGCAGAAACTGTAGGCATGAAGACAATGTGACATATAAAACTCTGAAAGAAAAAAATTACAACCAAGAATCATAAACCCAGCAAAATTGCTTATCAAATATAACAGCAAAGTTAGGACATTGCCAACTAAACAATAGAATTTATAAAAAAAATACCAGACCAACATTACAAAAAATCCTATAAGGAGTTCTTTGGACAGAGAAATAACAACTGAAGACTAACATACATGACAGTGTCACTTGGATATATTGTTATGGGGCATTGAGTCGGTTCCAGCTCACAGTGACCCTGCATAGGGTTTTGAAAAGTTTGAACCTCTGACCTGTGTGGTAAGCAGTCCAGTTCTTATCCTACAACAAGGATTCCTAAAACAAACCTGTAAGACTGAATATAGTTGTTGTTCAGTGCTGTCGAGTTGATTCCAACCCATAGCGACCCTGTATAGGGTTTCCAAGGAGCAGCTGGTGAACTTGAACCACTGACCTTGTAGTTCAAACAATTTTGCAGTCTGATGCGTTAGCCCACAGCGCCATACTGGAGAACCAGATATACCAATTTGCAACAACAACAAAAAATCCTAGAAAGTAAAAAGAGAGAATAATATATTTACAAAAGTTCCAAATGAAGAGGAAATCAAGTAGATTTTAAGAATAAAATAAAAATAAACCTAACCGTAACCCTAAACCTAGACCAACGCTCCTAGTCCTAGCCCAACCCTAGCACTAACCCTATTGCTGCTGCTGCATGCTATCGAGTCACTTCCCACTCATAATGACCCTGAGTAGGGTTTCCAAGGCTCTAAGTCTTTATGGGAACAGAAAGCCTTTCTCTCACAGAGCAGTTGGTGAATTTGAACTGCTGACCTTGCAGTCACTACACCAGGGCTTCTTACATCAACCCTAGTCCTAACCCTAACCCTAACACTAGCCCTAACCTAGACCTAGCCATAGTCTTAATTCTTATGGTGAAAGGTTGGCAGTTCAAACTCACCAGCCGCTCCTTGTAAACCCTATACAAGGTCGCAGTGGGTTGGAACTGACTCGATGGCATTTAACAACAACAACAACAACCCCCATCCAAAAGAATAAAAAAAAATAAAATGGTGTATGTGTCTCACTGACCAAAGCCGGGATTGTATGACACACAGAAAGGAGGATAAGGGAGTGAACTTAATGGGGGCCTTGGATGCAAAGGGAATGATTTGGATTTGACCTGATTGGGACCACCACCAGGTAGAACTGGGAGATGGTGGAAGGGGTCATTAGCTGAACAGTTAGGAGACATTTCAGAGGCCAAACAGCCTGGACCAGCGAAGTCTGTGGGAAAAGACCTCATCTGATTTTCATCCCTTGGTTGGTCTTTCAAATTAGGAAACTATTACTACAGATTATGCTTGGAAAATAATGACTGGGTTGTTTGTTTGTTTTTTTGCTATCTCCCAACAGGGAATGATTCACCGAGATTTGAAGCCTGTCAACATTTTTTTGGATTCCGATGACCATGTGAAAATAGGTGATTTTGGTTTGGCAACAGACCATCTAGCTTTTGCTGTGAGTATTTTTTAAATTAGAGTGTAATCGAAAAGGTGAAAGTGTTCGTAGACAAAATGTCACTGAGTTCTCTGACCTCTGCCATGTAATCCTCAGCAAATTATAGTCTAAAAGAGCAAGCTGCAAATGATCTCTTAGGCTTTGAGTTGTGACAGTATTATAGTGAACACATTCTACTTGAGAGAAATGAAATGACTGGTTTGTGGATGCTGTTTAGATCAGAGACATACTATATCTTGTGAAATAATTTTATATTCTTGTCTGCCATGCCAGGCACTGGAATAAATGCTTTACACTTAAAGGGTTTTCAGTGGGTTTGGGGAAATGATGTTTAAAAACATAAAACACCAGGAAAATCCATTTTAGAGAAGATGGTCTGGGAAATTCTTGTTCTTCACAACTTTGTATAATAGTTATTGAACATACAAGGCTAAATGTGAGGTGAGAGCAAGAGTGATGTAAGAGTTTGAAGCTAAGAGAACATTTGCACAGGGTTGCAAGGCTCAAGAATGACTGTAAAAAGATCACTGCATATCAGATGGGCCTTAAAGAGTGGGTGGGAGTCCAGAGAAAAGATTAAGGACAGCGTTTACTGGCACCAGGGCAGAGGATATCAGCGAGAAGGAGCAGCCTGAGCTAAGGCCCTGAAATGAGTAGACGTGGGTTGTCTGGAGACCAGCATGTTTCCTGTCTGGTTGACTAAAACTAGGATGTGTAGAGAGCAATGAACAAAGAGGCTGCAAGGCTTTCAGTATCAGATGATGGTTTTATTTAAGAGTCATCATCGTTGTTGTCGTTCTTGTTGTTAAAAGCCGTCAAGTTGGTTCCAATGCAAAGTGACCCTGTATAGATACAAGGTTTCCAAGGAACAACTCATGGGTTTGAACTGCCATCCTTGAGGTTAGCAGTCCAGTACTTGTCTTACAGTGTCACACACAGGACTCTAGACACTAAATTGTTTCTGTCACCAAGGCTGTATTTTCCAACTACTAATCCTCTTTGTTTCCAACCTTCATATTCCAATTGCCAGTAATTATCAATACATCTTGATTACATGTTTGATTAGTTTCACACTGAAGAAATTGCTTGTTGTTGTTGTTGTTAAGTGCTGTCACATGGGCTCTGACTCATAGTAACCCTGTACAGGGTGTCCAAAGAGAGCTGGTCTTCCAGTTATACCTGGTGGTGGTCCCAATCAGGTCAAATCCAAATTATTCCCTTTGGCATCCAAGATCCCCATTAAGTTCACTCCCGTATCCTCCTTTCCATGAGTCACACAATCCTGGCTTTTTTGGTCAGTGAGACACATACACCATTTTTTTTTTTAATTTTGGGTGGGGGTTGTGGTTGTTAAATGCCGTTGAGTCAGTTCCAACCCATCGCAATCCAGGTATAATAGCAAAAAGACGGAGAGCCAAAATGCCCATCAGTGGAAGAATGGATCAATTTTGGTACATACAAACAATGTAATGCTACACAATTGATGAATCTGCAAAACACTTCATAACATGGATGAACTTGGAGAACATTTGTTGTGTTGTTGTTAAGTGCCCTTGAGTCGGTTTCTACTCATAGTGACCCTGTATAGGGTTTCCAAAGAGCAGCTGGTGGGTTTGAACTGCTGACCCTGTGGTTCTCAGTCCAGTGCTCATCCTATAGCACCACACCAGGAGTCCACATTATGCTGAGTGATATTCATTCTATCACAAAAGGATAAATATTGTATGAGACTACTATTGTAAAAACTCAAGAAAGGGTTTTCATGCTAAAAGAGATATTCTTTGATGATTAACAGAGGTGGGAGTTAAGGGAGACTAGTTTACTGGCTAGAGGAGGTTGGTGATGTTTTCCTAGGAGCAGCTAGTGAGTTTGAACCACCAACCTTGTAGTTCAACTGACCTTGCAGTCCAGTACTTATCCTATAACACTACACCAATACATGTTCTGGGTAACAGGGAGGGTAATGTACAAGAAGAGGGAGGTTTGCAGGAGACTGATGAAGACAGTTGAAGACACAGGAAGGTATGCAAGGACTAAAGGGGAGCTCATACACAGCCCTGGCACCAGTGTCCTACAGTTCCATCCGTGGACACAGACACAGGCTGAGCACTATCATACCCACAAATCCCCACTGCTGCAAACGCACCTATGAATCTGATAGAGCATGTTGTTAAGTGCCATCAAGTCGGCTTCAACTCACAACCACCCTGTCTGTATATGGTTTCTGAGGCTTTCAGTCTTCACTGGAGTAGAAATCTTTCTCCCCCCTGCCCCCGCAGAACAGCTGGCAGGCTCAAACTATAGACCTTGTAATTCCCAGTCCAGTGCTTGTCATGTGGAGCTGCCATGCTCCCATGATGGAGCATGTTGTTGTTGTTAAGTGCCATTGAGTTGGTTTCAACACATAGCAATCCTGCATAGGGTTTTCATGGAGCAGCTGGTAAGCTTAAACTGCTGACCTTGTGGTTCAAACCGACTTTGCAGTTCCGCGCAGTAACCCGTAGCGCCACCTATGGATGATGGAGCATGCAGGGGGCAAAATGATGAAAACTTCTTAGTTATCATCTACCATCTCATGGCAATGAGTTGCTGGGCCTGGGGACTCAGGACCATAATCTCTGGGGACACCATTGTCAATTGGTATAACATAGTCCACAAGGACAATGATCAGCATCCTACTTTGGTGAGCAGCATCTGGAATCTCCAAAGCTCATGAGCAGCCATTTTAGGTGCAGCTATCTGTCTCTCCATGTGAGGAAGGAAAAAAGAGTGATGACAATTTGCAGATGCTTGTGAATATCAGTCACTGTGACATTCAGTCCAGAAGACCTAGATGGTACCTGGCTACCACTATCAGAGATGCTGAAAGTGTTCACATTAGAAGGCTACAGATAGAGTGAGGGGAAATGAGGAACTCAAGATTATTTTTTAAAAAGACCAGGCTGTACTGGTCAGTAAAAGACTGGAGGAACTCGAAACTGTGACCCTCGATCACCCTTTAGGTCTGAACAGGAACTCACCCTTGTGACCCAATTTTCAGCCAAGCGGGAGATATGTCTATTGGGGGAGTGGGGGTGGGGGTTCAGGGGGAACCAACACTAGTAAGTTATGCTCACTATGAAATGATTAACCTTTCTACATTCCCGATCAAAAAAACAACATTTACCTAAGAACAAAGTTGAGAAGGGATGGGAAGGAGAGCGGAATAGAAATAGGAACCACAGGGAGAAAGTGGGAAAACTATTGTGGCATGGAGGGGATTGTAATTGTTGAGCTGAAACAAAGTGTTTGATTTGTTGAATGTAAAACTGATTATCTTCTCTTCACTCAATTCACAATGAAAAAAAAAAAAATTTTAATGTATTTCTGTCAACTTTCTACACCAAAAATTTATCTGAAATCTCTGTTGATTTCAGTAGGTTTCTTGTGAGCCTTCTCTTAGTGGGTTGACTAAGCAAACACAATTTTTTGAACTCGATAAAAGCTTTATTATAAGTATTTTTATTCTGTGTAGTATTTTTCATTTAGAAATGGATTAATCTGTTCCTGTAAAATAACAGAACATTTTTATCTGACATTTGGTTGAATTGTGTTTTCAGGCTGATGGCAAACAAGATGACCAGGCAGGAGATCACTTGATTAAATCCGACCCTTCAGGTAAATTCAGAAGAATGGCTAGTTAACTAGTACACTGGAAAGCACAAAGCTTCTTAACCTGAAACCTGTTTTCCATTTGTAAAGATTTTATTCAAAGCAAATTATAATTGTTTTATTTATTGAAAAGAATTATAAAAATGCTTTAATTTTTCCCCTCGCTGTTCTTCAGACCTCTTAGAAATTAATGCTTAAAGTTAGTAGGGTAACTGGTTCTCGTGGGTAGACAAGTTATACTATGTTTAACCCTGAGTGGTAATGTGAGGCTACCTCATGACTGGGTCTGTCTGGGGTCTTCTTCATTTGGTACTGTCCCTCCTCTGCCACAGGAAACACATCCTGTGCGGTAAGCATGATTTCCAATTAACCCTCTTATAAAAAATATGTTGCATTATGTGTTGTGCTTCACTCTTAAGATATCCTTTTTAAAAATAAAAATTTGCCTTATCCAATAAACCTATTGTTGGAAGGCTTTCCTTACTTATCTCTCCACACAGGTCATCTGACTGGGATGGTTGGCACTGCTTTATATGTAAGCCCAGAGGTCCAAGGGAGCACCAGATCAGCGTACAATCAGGTAAAGGAGAAGCCTTTTGGGGAAAAGAGGATGACTCAAGAGTGAGATATAGTAGTTAGTAGTAAGAACAGCAGGATCAGCATTTGGGGTTCAGTCACCCATTGACTCATTCCTTATGTAATTGATCTCACCAAATTATATACATGGAAATGTTGACTTGGCAAATACTGTGTGATCTGTAGTTTTACAACAGTAAAAAAGGAGAGTGGTCACAGCATTGTTTCTGATAGTGAAAAATAACAACGTTTAAAAGGCGAGAACTGGTTAGATTATAGGACCCCCATATGATTGACTTCCATGTGTCATTATGATGTTTTAGAAAAATAACACAATAGTTTTGAACAGTATTCTCATTATATTAAATGACTTAAAGTTACAAACAATAGTGTGGTTCAAGTCTTATAGTATGTACATGTGTATATGTGTACAGGAAAAAGCACAAATAAGATATCAAACATCAGTAGTAAATAACCCTGAGTAACGGAGTTCTGTATACTTTCTATTCTAGGTGCTTTTTCTATATGTTTCTACTTTTCTACAGTCAACATGCTTAGAAAATGGCCTTCTGAGTGTTTGTTTTTAAAACTTCAGAGATCACTGGGGATAATTCAAAAGGCTCTCCTGCTAGTCCTTGAGTCCAAATTCATTTTAAGAGTTTTTCTTGAAAATAATCTATCCCGGCATGGGGTAACCTTGTAAGTCCTCACTGATGGGCCTCTGCAGTAAGCAGTTGACCTTTGCTATTAGCTGCAAATTTGGTTCTATGCTTCACTTTTAAGATGACTAGTGAAGATGCAAAGCACACTTTAATGACAGGTTGGGTTTTCCTTTATCTTTAGCCTTTATTTTCAGTCGTCAGGCAATGTTTAGCCACATCTTTGTATAGCTAAGGACTCCTGGTGTGGCACTGTAGGATAAGCACTGGACTGTGAACCACAAGGTCCATGGTTCAGACCCACCAGAAACTCCTCAGAAACCCCATCAGGGTCACTATAAATGGGAACCAGCTTAATGGCACTACAGCAGCAATAGCAATATAGCTAAACGGTGTAGCTAAACCCGATGCAATTCATTTTTAAGGAAAAGGTTAAGCGAGATCAAGCCAGATATTTTATCATCATCTAAATGTAAAATGTCTCACTCAGCATTGATATGTATACTTTTTTAAGTAAATTACCAAATTTGTCTAATGTGGCTTGTTTTCCATTTATGCAGATTTTATTCCAACTAGCCACGCTCAATCTTATAATTCTATGATAAATTATATTTTGATATCAAGACTCATTAAGTACAATTTCTCCCTCAGAAAGTGGATCTCTTCAGCCTGGGTATTATCTTCTTTGAGATGTCCTATCACCCCATGGTCACAGCCTCAGAAAGGATCTTTGTTCTCAGCCAGCTCAGAGATGTATGTATCACATGTTGTACTGCACACGCTCCCATTAACCTGCATCATCGAGATCAGAATCTAGAGTGTTTTCCTGGGCCTTATAGAGAAGAGACTGTTCTAGTCTAATTTTAGTGAATGACTTGCCAGTCTGATCAGTTATCTCATTTTCAGGAAAACATTTTCTAAGCAGGGGAGTTGTCTCACTTAAGGTCTTAGAAACAAATGTTGGTAGGCAAATATTAAAGACTGCTTCCACTGAGAAGAGGTCTTTTTTCTCTCTCTTCTATATGTCCAGTAAGTGGCAGTCTTCCTCTGCTACACACCTCCAATGATAAGAAACAGTTTTGTTTAGTTTGGGAAATCTTACCTGCAGAAGAGGTCCCTGGATGGCCAGGTGGTTTGTAATTGGCTGCTAACCTAAGGGTGGGATGCCATAGAGAAGAGGCCTGAGGATTTGCTTCTGTAAAGATCCCAGGCAAGAAAATCCCTTGGAGAAGTTCCACTCTGTGACACGTGGGGTTGCCTTGAATCAGAATCAGCTCAATGACAACGACTTTGTTTTTTGTCTACCTGCAGACGATGCTGGCTTATAATTACTTTGTTTTAATTGTTGAGATTTGCTCTTTATTTTAAAACAAAGAGAGAATTTATTGTTTTATTTTTATCAAATCAATACAGTTATTAGCAGAGTGGATGGGTAATAAGGGTAATGAATAAGCAGTCCTAGAAATTAAAGATGACACTTAAATGGACCTGGTGTAGCAGCGTCTAAAGAATGCCACTTGGACCAGAAGTAAGAAGGAACCTGAGAAAACATCAGCCATCCGAATTGGCCATACTTTTTTCACTGAATGGAATTTTTATTTGAGTACTGGGGATTAATCCTTGCCTCTGTTATCGCCCAAAGAAAAGATCTCACTAAAGTGTGTGCAGTTAAATGTGGGCACTGGAAAATGGCATTGAGATTAAAATGGAAAGGAAGGTTAAGGTGAGGATGATAATTTAGGTTCCCATATTCATGAGCAAGAGGAGAACGGAGCCTTCCTCTTTCTTGCTGAACACTGTATAGCACGTGTGTCTATCAGGTTTAATTGTACGTTATAACTAAGAAAACAGTGATTTTCTTTTCCATGCAGTGTGGGCAGCTATATCATATACAAGGATGAGTCAAAAAGTATTGCTACAAAATCATAGACCCCCTTTTTTTAGGCAAAAAAAAAAATCAAAATGTAAAGCTGTTATTTCTCAATATATCCTCCATTTAAGCCTATACACTTCTTTTAACTTGTTGTAAGTTGAGTGAAGGTTTACAGACAAGATCACCAGCTAACATTCAGCAAATCATACACTTTGTTTCCTCTCAATGATTGCAGTTCCCTCCATGCAACTTCCTCCCTGTGGTTACCCATGTACAAATAACCTCTTTCAAACTCATATGTTTATGGTATGTATCAATATTGGGTCTATACATTTCTGAAGGCAGTGTTTCTGACTCGAACCTTTCTCTGAAGAATTCAGCGCAGTTTTGCTATCCTTGAGGGACTCAAACCAGGTTCCTTTTAAATGTTCTTAGAGTTTGGAGAGCAAACAGAAGTCTGAAGGAACATGATCAGAACTATTGGTTGAATGGAGTAAAGTTTCCCAATGAAATTCTCATACAACAGCCCTTGCTACCCTTAAAGAATGAGTAGGTACACTGTATTGATGGGGGAAAAAATTCCTTGGCACAACTTTCCTCACCTTTTTCTCACCAAGGTAGTTTTCAATTATCTTAAAACTTCTTCATAATAAGCCCCTTTGATCATCCTGTGTCCTTTGATAAAGTCCTTCAAAGACTGTCACTGTAACCTTCTCAGCTGACTTCTCATCCTTGAATTTAGCTGGCCCAGCAGATCCCCCTGTTTTTATTGGGCTTTGTTTTAAGGCAACCTGTCAACTTACTGCAAGAATTTATCTCAGCCATCCACCCGTCACAGAGACGTGAGTAAACGTGTTTGTTTGGAATAAACCCGTGCAAGTATGAACTGGAGTCCTGGTGTGGTGCTGTGGGTTAATGCGCCAGACTGCAAAGCCGTTTGAACTGCAAGGTTGACGGTTCAAGCTCACCAGCAGCTCCTCGGAAACCCTATACAGAGTCGCTATGGGTCAGAACGGACTTGATGGCACTTAACAACAACAACAACAACAACATGTATGAACTGGAACCCTAGTAGCAATACTTTCTGACTTACCTTACATAGTTCGAACAGGCAGCAGGTTTCACTCAGTCTTCCCTTGTAAGCAAGTTTGTATTTGTATATTGTATATTCTTGTTTCTGATGAATAAATGCTTGTGGAAGTCTGCCTTGCATTTGCTGATTTTAATGTAATATCCTTTTAGCCCACTTCACCTAAGTTTCCAGAAGACTTCGATGATGGCGAGCACACAAAGCAGGTAGTTTTCTGACAGCTTTCATTACTATGCCTTCACTTTTGGGTTCTAATGACTACTTTCCTTCTTTTTCAATTAGTAATCTTCTGTCACTCATTCTCTTATGGCTTGGGAACAATGCGGAGAAAATATCAAAAGATGAAGCACTTAAATGTTACTAGCCTTGAAATACCCCATAAAAATGCCAAGGGCTGGTACAGAAAATTCACAGCTTGCCGGGTTCTTTTGTGTAGTTCATTGTATTTTTGAAGTGTTATTTGGCCCCTGGCTTTGCTATTGTAAAAGAAAAGAGAGAGTTTTTTTAAGGTTTATTGTTTTTAAAAAAAAAACTAACTAAAAACCTTGGAGCTTGAAGAAGGAAAAATATTTAAACTTATCATTTTTTCTGTTCTGTGGTTGAAGTACCTCAGATTGTGAAGTTGTTTGTTGTTGTTATGTGCTGTGGAGTCAGTCCCAACTCATAGCGACCCTGTACAGGGTTTCCGAAGTTGTAAATCTTTATGGGAGCAGGAAGCCTCATCTTTCTCCCGCGGAACAGCTGGTAGTTTCGAACTGCTAATGGTAAGATTAGCAGCCCGATTCGTAACCACTATGCTACCAGAGCTCCTCAGATTGTGAAGAGAGGGTTGCATTTTCTAGACAATTGGATGCTACAGTATTTTAAAGCAAAAAGTTCTCCACCACACCTTAAATACATGTGTGTGTGAGAGAGAGAAAACCGTGCTGTAGGTTAAGATTGGCTTCTGGCTAATAGGTGCTTCTGGTGTGCCTTCTCTTAGTGCTGATGGTTTGTCTTGGTGGGGCCTTCTTCATTGGTTAATGCCCTTGTCATGTAGTTTAATCCTTAAACTGACTTTTGTTATCAATTTTAATCAGTGCAAAACTTCTTATTTAAGTTATTATCATTAAGAACAGAAACCTGATTAGAACATTAATTTATTATGTCTTGCTTATTGATTATGAATCTGGATGGACATGTAATTAATCTTTCTAGACTCTAATATTCCTCACCCATAAAATAAAGGAATTAAATGCCCTTTATTTGTGTTAGCACTAGCCTTCTGCAATGCATTTATGGCTGTAGGTCCTACTTGTACCTCATTAGTTAAGTAGTTAAGAACCGTTATAAAATACTTTGAGTTTATTTTCTGCTTTTTTTGACAGCTATTATTACTTATATAAACGGAGTCCTTTCTGTGTGTCTATATGTCCTTTCTGTGTGTCTAGAAGTGACCATTTCGTAGCCTGAACGTATAACAAGATCAGTTCTATTCAGTGTTTCCACTTCTAAAGGTATCCTAGGAGTCCCGCTGTAGCACTGGACTCCTAATCACAAGGTCAGCTGTTCAAACCCACCACCAGCCATTCCTCAAAAACCCTGTACAGGGTCGCTATGAGTCAGAACTGACTCCACAGCACTTAACAACAACAACAACAAAGCTATCATAAGGACTTCTGATGGCAAAGTGGGCTAAGCATTTGGGTTGCTAATGTCAGTGTAGTTCAAACCCACCAGCTGCTTCAGGGGAAAAAGATAAGGCTGTCTGCCTCCGAAAAACTTAGTCTTGGAAACCCTATGGAATGGTTCTACTCTGTCTTAGAGGATTGCTCTGAGTCAGAATCAACTCAAAGGCAATGGATTGTTGTTTTTTTCTTAACCTATCTTGACATGTTGCTATTAGGTGCCGTTGAGTTGCTTCAGAATCATAACAACCCTGTAGTTTCCTAGGAGCGACTGGTGAGGTCGGTTTGAACCAACCTTGTGGTTCAAACCAACCTTGCGGTCCAGTGCTTATCCTGCAGCGCCACACCAGCAGTCCATCATGGCATAGGACCTGTATTAAACTAAAAACACAAGAGCATTTATGTTTTTATTTCAGCCTAAGGTAGGGGCAGAGGGTGGGGGAGAATACTTTAATGATGTTTAATTGGAAGGTGAATAAGATTCATCTGTAAACTAAGGTTCTCTAATCTCTTCAATAGTCCTCTAACTAAAACTTCTTAGTATAAATAAGAGAATTAAGAATCATTAAGGAACCTTTCAGAGGTTTAGAATGCTTTCAAATGATCCCCTGCTTAATGAGATGTTAGCTATGAAAGTACAACAAATCAGTAACATAAATGAAGAGAACTCAAGTGAATGGTACCAACAAAAATAACCTAAATGATGAAAATAATAAAAGCAAAATATTTTTTACTGATTTAAGGATTCCCAGTTACTGTGTATATATTGGAGAACTGGCGTGGTGCTGTGGGTTAATGAACTGAGCAGCAAGGTCAGTGTAAACCGCAAGATCGGAGGTTCAGGCTTACCAGCAACTCCTAGAAAACCCTCTACAGGGTCGCTATGAGTTGGAACTGACTTAATGGTGCTTAACAGCAACAACAAAATATATATCATAATTTCTACTAAAATTAGACATCTTAAACTGTTTGTTTTATGTACTTACCTCTTTTTTGCACAGTATTGTGTGTTCTGCTCCATAGTTGTTGAGTTGTTTGTGACAATAAATTATCAAAAAGAATCTCACCCTTTGAGAAATTATTTTTACATTGTTGCACAACTTGGTGTAATAGTCATAAGTGTAGAAAGAAAATGGCAAATTCAGAGGTTTCCAAAATACCAGTTAAAATGCACCAAGTGCTGCACATGTAGTGTCTTTTGTTTGTCTTAAACCATCCACTGACTTGTCAGGCTGAATTCTTGTGTATTTCCACTGTGTCCTATCACTGGTGTGCCTGGGATTCCATACAGAAATCTGTCATCTCCTGGCTGTTGAACCACGACCCAGCCAAGCGGCCCACAGCCACAGAGCTACTGAAGAGCGAGCTGCTGCCCCCACCCCAGATGGAGGAATCGGAGCTGCACGAAGTGCTGCACCACACCCTGGCCAACGTGAACGGGAAGGCTTACCGCACCATGATGGCCCATATCTTCTCCCAGCACATCTCCCCTGCCATCGATTACACCTATGACAGTGACATCCTAAAGGTAGAACTTAGTGGGATCCACTCTTCTAATGGATTATTTAAATGCCTTCAACCTGTAATGTACCGATATCAATGCAAGGATGATAAATTCTTCATCAGAGCGTCATGAAACCCCTATAAGTAAGTGCATGTAACATTTGTGTACATGTAGTCCTGGTGTGGCGCTGTAGGGTGAGCAGTCAACCACAGGGTCACTGGATCAAATTCACCAGCCACTCCAAGGAAACCCTACACAGGGTCTCTGAGTCAGAACTGACTCAACAGCACTTAACAACATTATTCTGGAAAGAAGAGCCACACTTTTAATCATTTACTTAACAGTTCTTAGCACACTTCCTTCCCACTTCTCCCCCTCCTAAAAGATTAAGAAGTGGTGCATCTAGGGATTCGGCCCCTGGCCCAGTGGCCTAGAACCTAAAGCACCCAACCAGTTCAGATTGTAATCAGATAGGAGAGTGGCTCTCAGTGCTGGCTGCATGTGGAACTTTCCTGGGAGGCCTTTGGGCAGTGCAGGTACCCAGGCCCCACATCAGCTCAGTAACTGGATCTCCAGGAATCAATGTTTAAAAACACTTAGGTGGTTTGAGGCATAGCCAGCTATGGGAGCTATCAGCATTTTATTTCTTCAAAACGAAACAGAAGTGGAGGGGAAGGAAAAAAATTTCTCGAATAGAGGTAAATACTGTTAACTGATGGTACATGGAGTGGATTTACAATTGTTGTAATGACACGAAGTGTATAATTTGTTAGATGTGGCACTGATGATCTGTTCCATAAACCTTCACTCAATTCACAATAAAAAGTTTTTTTTTTTTTTAAAAAAAAAGGTCTGAAGCAATATAGCAAAATGTTAAAATTTGATGAATCAGGGTGGTAGGTGTACAGATATTCGTTATATTCTCTATATATGTCTGAATGCTTAGAATATGACATCATTTTAAAAGATAGCGTACCAGAGAGAGTAGTGGTAAGATTTGTGAAATATGAATATCAGTGTAGATTTTAGGAGTCAAACATAGTTTTCTGCTGCCTTTGCTGTTGTTGTTAAGTTCCATCGAGTCAGTTCTGACCCATAGTGACCTTATATAGGGTTTCCAAGGAATGACTGGTAAGCTTGAACCACTGACCTTGTGGTTCAAACCAACTTTGCAGACCAACACATCAACCCACAGCACCACACTAGGACCCCTTTTGCTGCCTAATAATATTAAGAATAAATTTGTAGGATTATATGTGATTTTGGGGAGGTCTTATTACTGAAATGTTATTTCTAAATGTGAAATTATATCATTTTATAATAAAGGAAAATATGAAAAACTCTTCACAAAATATGTAAATTGCACATGCTTTCAGTGGACCTACTTGAATCACTTAAAGTGTGGTTCCCCTCAGGTCTCTTGATCTCATCACAGTGTCCCTGAGAGTCCCAAAAAGAATATTTACATTTGATTAGCTCTCTGAAAACTGTATGTCAGAGTAGATAAGAGTTTAGACTTTGAGCCCTGATTCATTTCCCACTGCTGGAAAGGCAAGCTCTCAAATTCAGAAGTGACATATTGCAAGACCATGGTCTCTTCTTCCCTGAATTTGGTCAAAGTTGGACTGACTTCTCGAGATTTATTTTATGATTCTGAGGATAAGCAATGGGGTGCCTACTGCAAGCATATATTAATACTTTAGGGAATCGCTTTGATTAGGCTTTATCATGACATTTGATTTGGTCATATTTTAGGGCAATTTCTCAATCCATGTAGCCAAGATTCAGCAGCATGTGTGTGAAGCAATTATTCGCATCTTTAAAAGACATGGTATGTGCTTTTTTGTAATAAAGAACTCATTCTTTCTCTAAAGTTGTTTTTTTTTTTCATCATTAGTAAGTAACATTGGTGAATTTGAGTTCAACTTCATTTTACTTTCAAATTCAATTATAAATAATTGATATAATGTGAAGTTCAATTTTATTTTTATATTTCATCTGGATGAGGAGACACTGATCTGAAAATGACAGCCTTGCTACTGAAATACAGCGGGTTTCTGGAATCATAAGTATGCCTAATTAGCCATCATCATAACCCTAGATGAACTCTCCATTAGCAAATTTAGACAATGGTCCAGATTATTTCACTGTGTGAATTGTGTTCATTTTAAGTTGCCTCATAGGAAGAATGAGAACATGATGTTTGGGGGTTGTTGGTTTTTGTTTTGTTTTTTCTAATTTGATATAGGAGCTGTTGAATTGTGTACCCCACTACTGCTTCCCCGAAATAGACAAATATGTGAGCACAATGAAGCCGCCTTGTTCATGGACCACAGTGGGATGTTGGTGATGCTTCCTTTCAACCTGAGGGTAAGGCTGGAGACACTCCATGGCCATCCAGCTGCCATGTACGATCGCAGTGATGGTGTCTGGGTTAAAGGATGACTTCTACCCATCATCTTTTTCTCTAGGTGCATATTCTAAATGCCACCTTTAAGAACATAATTCTTAAGAGTGTTCTTTGGCTGAGAACAGTATTAGAATTTAGTAAATGTTTGACTCTACATTCGACCACCTTGCTATACACAAGTGCTTATGGCTCTACAAGCCAGAAGCCTGCATTCTCACTCCTCAGTGTTTAGCTCCACAGGTAGCCACATAAAGAAGTGGCCTTTCTTTCTTACTTTCCTAGAGAGACCTTCAGTAACACCTTAATATATCCATGTCTGTGTGCTCGTGAGTTGGTTCCAACTCATGGCATGTTAGTGGCTAAAACAATTACATACGTGTATCAGCAAGTATCTCTGCTCATTTGGTGTAAGGTGTTTGCTTGCTTCTGCCCTCCCAAAACTCTCTTTGACAACAGAGTTCTTTTTATGATTATTGTTACCATTGTAGCAGTATATACACAACAAAACCTTCGCCACGTCCGCAGTTTTCACATGTCCAATCCAGCCACCCTGCCCATACTCCCCATGCTGCACAACCATCACCACTAGCCTTCGAAATCCTTTTTCCCTCTCTCTCCTTTCTTTTTGTTTTATTTATCTTTTTTATCCCCTTCTTTCCCTTCCTTTCTTTCTGTGGGAAAGTTCCCAATGGTTTGACTTAATCCAGACAAATAAATATGCATGTTTTCCCTTCCAGTACATGGAAAAAAAGATTCAATTATTCTTTTTTTTCCTACTTTTCTTTTTAGCAGTCTTCACTGTCACCCAAGTAGTACATGTCTAAGTCTCCCTTCCCTCCCACTCCTGGTAACCATCATAGAATGTTTATTATAGAATGAAAGCCTTTTATTGATGCTTTACAGTAGTGGCCTCATATATTTGTCCCTTTGGGACCAAGGAATTTCACTCAGTATAATGTCCTCTGGGGTCCTTCATGTAATACAGATTAATCATTGTTCTTAAGTGTTGTGTAATATTCCATTATGTGTAGGTACCAAAGTTTGTTCAACCATACATCTGCTGGTGGGCATCTAGGCTATCTCCTTCTTTTGACAGCAGTGTTCTTGCCAATCACCCCATTCACTTAGTGCTGGCTGCTGACAGGCTCATCTGTAACTTGTACAGTAGACTGGAAGGAAACAAGCAATGCATATACAGACAAGGATTTCATTCTCCTAACATATAGAAAGAACTTACAAATTAATCCCTTTCTTTTTTCTTAAGAAACAAACCCAAAAAAGAAAAATATGCAAAGGATACAACCAGGCTTGTGCAGAAGAAAAGTATATGACTGATAAACACCTGCAAAGATAGTCAGCCTCATTAATAAGGAAACACAAATCAACTTCACACGTCAGACTGGCAAAAATATTTAATAACACTAGGCAAGGGCATAGGACATTAGGTACCTTCCTACATTGCTGATGGGAATGTAAATTGTAACATGAAACTATTTCATAAAATGAAAAATTTTAAATGCACATACCCTTTGGGCTAACAGTCCCACTTTGAGAAATTTATCCAAAGAAACAAAAACATATTAGTATATAAATGTTCAAGGATCTTTCTTGCAGCGTTAATGTAGTGGTCAAAACAGAAAATTCAGCATGTTTAGCAATAGAAAAATTGCTTGATAATTTTAGCACATCAGTTGTTGTTGTTGTTGTGAAGTGCCGTCGAGTCGGTTCCGACCCATAGCGACCCTGTACAGGGTTTCCAAGGGTGTAAATCTTTACGGGAGTAGAAAGCCTCATCTTTCTCCCGCGGAGCGGCTGGTAGTTTCGAACTGCTGACCTTAAGGTTCGCAGCCCAATTCGTAACCACTACGCTACCAGAGTATTAGGTATTAATCAGCTATTAAGAAAAATATCTAGATGTATGTTTCATAGAGATCAAACATATATACATAATTAAATATATAAATATAGATAGATCCATATCTATATTTGATATGTAGGAACTTCTATAGTAGCTGGAAAAAAGTAAATTTCAAAGGAATATCTCATTCCCTATTTTTGTTATAAAGAAAGAAAAAATTTGCAAGATGGTGGACTAGGCAGATGTACTTCATAGACCCTCTCAACAAAGATATGAGAGCCCAAATAAAACAGACACAGATGAAAATTCTGGAGCCCCGAACTCCAGAGGAAAGGTTAAAGAAGTGGGTTGAGTGTTTGCTGGGAGGAGAATCTGAGCAGGAACAGTGAGAGAGGGAGACTGACTGGTGAACAGCCAGCTAGACATGGTGCAACCATCTTGTGAGGAGTTTTGGTGACAAAAGGTGGCCAGGGGAAAGTGCAATTCCTTCTTTTTCCCCATGCTCCCCTGGTGACCAGAGGTGTGACCAGCCCCCATTCTCATCCATCCCCAGCTTAGACCCTGCTCTCCAGGAGTCAGTGTGAGGCAGGAGCTGGGTACACTGCTTTAGTGGCCCTCTTTGATGTGGAGATTCAGGCAGGCTCAACTCCAGGCCTACAGAGCCCACAGAGCCACCAGACCAACATGTAACCAGACACTCTGGTCCCAACTGCCTTGTGGTCTTAACAGACACTGAAACCAACTCCATCAAGGATCTCCACAAACTACTTCTGGATTGAGTACCCTGAATATAGATAATACCGAGGCCAATAGGAACTCCATCCAGAGCCAGGAACTCCACTGTCACATCCCTCCCACACCCACCTCTTAAGTGTTTTGGCTTGCAGGAGCCCCCAGAGTTTACTTCTCTCCAAGCCCAACAGCTACACTGTTGTTTTTTTTTAGGTTTTGGGGTGGGTTTTTTTTCCTTTTCTTGTATCATTATTTTTGCTTAATTCTCCTCTTTCTTCTTTCCATTCTCTTGAATTTTATCCTTTCTGTCTCTACTGTTGTTTTTCCCTTTTTTCTTCTGTTTATCATTTCCCCTCTTCTTTTTTACCTCCTTTTGATCTTTCTTTACTACTCCCTACTCTCATTCTCTTATCATCTTCCCTCTCCCTGGTTTCTAAGTTCTTTTTTAAAAATTTATTTTATTTTCTCTCTTGTTCTTCTCTTCTGTGGCTCCATTTTCCTATCCCTCTTTTCTGTTCTTACTTGTTTTCTTTAATTTATTACTTTTATTTTCTCTTCTTTTTCTCTTCTATAGCTTCATTTCCCTGTCTCTCTTTTGTCTTTATAGTTTTAATATTCTTTTTTTCTGGTTGCTGCCTATTTTTTATTTTTCTCTTTATTATTTTCCCTTTTCATTGTTGGTTCCTTGTGTGCTTCTTCTCTTTTGTTTTTGTATGTGTGTGTGTGTGAAGTGTTTTCTCTTTCCCATCTAACAGGAGACAACAACCATGTCCATACAGCCCAGCAACAATCATACCCTCTGCAGCTCCACCCACTGAGCAAAAGCCAATACCACCCCCAATACCAACTGATTAATAATAGACAATACCAGTCAAACCCACCCTAAGCTGAGGTTCACAAATGACAAACAAGAATGCTGTACATGCTTCCATTCTCTAACTTCACCCACAAGAGATAGTTGGTGAGAGCGTAAGAATACACCAACATACAATCATAAGTTAAATACAAGTACAAAAACACCATAATGCCCTGGAGATAATAGAAAATTTTAGCTCACATAAAGAGAATAGCTGAAATAAATGACCATAATGCAGAGCAGGAAAATGTTTCTAAGGAATAAAAGATAACTGAAAAAGAATTCAAAAGAATGACGCTTGAATACCTTCAAAGAATTGATAGAAAGATAAAGGAAAGCAAGGCAAACACAATAAAAACTTTAGAAGAATTCAGGAAAACACTATAAGAACATGCAATCAAAATAAATGCAAATTTTGAAACAATACAAAATCTGCAATTAGAAATCCAAAAGATAAATACTAAGGTCTCAGCAATGGACTACACTGAAAGGGCGAAAGAGTAGATTTGGAGCAATGGAAACCCAAATTCAAAGTGAGCTTGAAAATAAATATCTCAGTACTAGTACACTAGAAAAACAATCAGGAAAATGAAGAAAATCCAAAGAAAGCTTAAGATAAGAAGAGGTTTTCCATGAAGAAGAAAAACGTGTGGGTGATCAGAATTCCAGAATGGGAAGAGACAATAAAAAGCACAGAGAAAATTGTCCAAGACTTGTTGGAGAAAACTTCCCTAACATGAAAGACAAGAAGATAAGCATACAAGAAGCTGAACAAATCCCAAACAGGATAGATCCCTACAGAAAAACACCAAGACATATCATAGTCAAACTTTCCAAAGTCAAAGCCAAGGAAAGAATCATGAGAGCAGCTTAGGAAAAACAAAAGGTTACCTACGTAGTTTTGATTTCTCAGCAGAAACCAAGCAGGCAAGAAGGCAATGGAATGACATAAAATCTGAAAGAAAAATATTGACAACCAAGAATCATATACCCAGCAAAGCTGGCCCTCACAATAGCAAAATTAGGACATTTCCTGATAAACAGAAATGAAAGGAATTTGTAATCACCAGACCACCTTTAAAAAAAATGCTAAAGATTTTCTTTGAGCTGACATTAATAACAGCAGACAACAACCTGAGATTACCATACATGACAACACCACACCAGGACTCCAATCCAGATAAGGTGTTGCTGTTAAGTGCTGTCAAGTCATTTCTGACCCATAGCAACCCTGTATAAGGCTTCCAAGGAGCAGCTGGTGAGCGTGAACCACCGACTCTGCGGTTCAAACAGACCTTGCAGTTCAGCACATTAACCCGCAGTGCTACACCAGGACTCCGTACTTAAAATTGGATCCATAGTCTCTAAGCAGAGTCATGGTGTGAAGCTGCAGAATAATGCACTGGACTGCAAGGTCAGCAGTTGAAACCTCACCAGCCACTCCTTGGAAATCATATACAGGGTCACTATAAACCGGAACCGAATTGACAGCACTCAGCAACCAGAATAACAAGAACAACATTCTCTAAATATTGGAAGTGGATAAACATAAGTGCAAATATATAAATATCAGTTTTCTTTTCTGTGGGCTACACAAATACAAATAAATAAAATGCTCTTTGAGAATTTGACCCATTAGGTAATGATGTTATATCAAATCTCCTAGGATAATCTAATAAGAGTTTATTTTATTACTTATTAGTACTCCTGGTGTGGCATTATAGGTATGGCACATAAGCACTGGACTGCTAACCCACCATCCGCTCACACCTCAGAAATTTACGTAGGCCTGCTATGAGTTAGAACTGACTCGATGGCACTTAACATCAGCAACAAGTATTTTGCTTAAGAGATAATGTAGGAAAACTGGGAAATTCACTGTAGAAAATAATATCCATGTGGGTCCTATTACCATAAATGACACTTTTCAAAATTATCACGGTAGATTTTAGTTTTGATTTGCATGTTTTTAATTTGCATAATAGAAATTTGGCAGAGTCTGTTTCATTTGAAGAAAGGAGCTTTAAAGTAAAGTGCTTCATACCACTCCACTTTTAAACATGGATTTTTCTCAAATTTGAAAACCTAAGCAATGCCACTGTGAGTTAGAGAGTCTCAAGTGTACTGCCGACAAAGCACTCAGGAACATTTTAGAAACTGTGAGAAACCCAATGAATTGTAAACACTAAAAGGGTGGAATTTATGGTATGTGAACTATGTCTCAATAAAATTGTGTGTTTTTTTGCTTAAGTATGGTAGTTGGCATATCTTGGAATTAATCTTTAAAACTTTATCTTTCAGGTTCCTTTTGCAAGATATGTGGCAAGAAATAATATAATGAATTTAAAACGGTAAGAAATAATGGGGACTCCCGTTTAGTGACTGTGGGAAAGAAAGCAAAATGGATGTTTTCCCTTCTGTGATCCTACACAGTAAAGATTTCTGGATTCAAAGTCTTGAACTTGGAATATCGTCAGAAGCCCAGCTCCCGTATCACATTCTGTCAGGTGACTAGGGCTGTCAGCCTCCTCTTTAGAAGAAATGTCACCGTTGAGTTCCCTCTATTGCATGCCTCCTAAATGTCCCCAAGCCACATCACTAATGATTCTCACAAATGGCTGCCTGTAAAAACATCTGGCTGTTCTTGATCACAGATGGCCCCTTTTAAAATTTAATTGGAGGGACAAATGGCGAATGGTCTCTGTGTGAACACTGCCTACAAGGTAAGTGAACAAAAGCTACTGTAGAGAAGTGGAGTAAACCCAGCATGAACATTGAACACTGAGGACCCACAGGCACTTAGCTTTGGAAAAAGGTTTTCTGCACATTTAAATACCACAGGAGTCAAATACTGTGGTCTTTGTATACTGAGAAGTATTGTTGTCAAGGAGGCACCCTACTTCAAAGCTCTTTTCATCAGATGAAATCAAAGCTCTTTATGGGCTTTTGTTTCCAGCCACAACTGAGCAATTCAGCGTCATGGGCCTGTGGTCTGGGTATCCCTGTGTAGAAAGTAAACACTTAAGGTGAAGTTATATTTGTGTAAGCCGTCTCTTTTCGAAGAATTAGACCTCATAGTGTAATAGTGGTGAACCTGGGCCTTAGAACATGTATCACAAGGCAAGGGTGCTCTGGGGTAATTCTCTCTTTAACCCTGGCCCATCAGACCACTAACTGTTTCCATCTTTGTTTCTTTTGTCTGACAATTTCTTATATATATTTGTTTGCAATAAGTAATGATCTTTGAAATCTGGCTTTCTCTCTCTAGATACTGTATAGAACGTGTGTTCAGACCTCGCAAGTTAGACCGAATTCATCCCAAAGAACTTCTGGAATGTGCATTTGATATTGTCACGTCTACCACCAACAGCTCTCTGCCCACTGCTGAGATCATTTTCACTATCTATGAAATCATCCAAGAGTTTCCAGTGCTCCAGGTTCCTTGCCATATTTTAATATCCTTAGCTCCTTCCTCCCTACATCCCTGCAGTCCTTCACCACATGTGGTGGAAAGCACCACTACAGAGCTGCTTCTCCATGTGGGCAACTGAAAACATTTGATGATGTTGCCTTTGAAGTTAACCTCAGGCTCTTATCTCCACTTTCACAGGAACTGGTTTTGTTTTTGTGTGTGTGTGTGTTCTCTGTGGTTTGGAAGGAAGGTTGTTGTTTCTCTACCCATACTTCCAAAATGCAAGAAACCACGCTTAGATTCCTACTGAACTGTTTGTAGCACCTTCCGACTCTGTTTAGAAGCTTCGCTTTTCATCATGTGTTTGCACACTTCCAGCACCTCTGTTTATTCTAGGCAGACATTCCCTCTGCATCCCGCAAACATGCTACTGTTGCTAGAAGTCACAGGGTTGCTTTGCCGCGAAGCTCTTTTTCTCTGTAGCCAGTGTTTTAAGCCCTTTCCCCCCAGGAAGCCTGGTGCACCTTCATTGATTGATTGTCACCCGTGATTCTCAGTGCTTACTGCACTTGATATGAATCATCCATATTTCACCACGAGTTGTATTAGTTGGGTTCTCCAAATTAGAGTATGTTCTCTTTCAGGGCAGAGTCCACATGTGTATTCTTCCTGTATGCCCCCATGTACTGCACTTAGCACACAGCTGTCTCTTCATCTGAATGCACAATTGGACATAAGTGTTCATTAACCTGTGAGGCAAAAATCATAGTAACTACTAGTCCAACAAACTGACCTCACCCTCTTTGAAATCTGTCAACTCCCTCATGCTTTCTAACATAAATGAAGGCCAGGCAGCACATTTTTTATACATATAATGGAGTATTAAATCATATTATCAGTGTCTTTATAAATCTGATCTTTATTTGTCTTTGGAGGTTGGAAACATTGCATATAAACTTACAGGTATATTTTAGCACCATCTGTAGTATGTATTGCTAATGATGTTGGTTGTTGTTCCAAATCATAGCAACCCTAGATAGGAGTTCTGAGGCGTGGTTGGTAGGATTGAACCGCTGACCTTGAAGCTAGCAGTCCAGTGCTTATCCTACAGCACCACACCAGGGCTCCTTGCTAACAATAAAATGTACAAAACAACCATTGTAAGTTTGGGTCATTGTAATTGGAGTGTGTCCTAAGGACTACCTGTATCCTAAAATTCAATCTTATCAGTGTATTAGGGTGGTAAGAGTCCAGGTTTGAACATGTAGCTATATTGCTTTTATAATGAAAATCATAACTTTTTTTTCTGTATCCTAGGAAAGAAATTATAGTATCCACTTGAACCATACCACATTATTGAAAGCTATACTCTTACACTGTGGGATCCCAGAAGATAAACTTGGTCAAGTCTACATTATTCTGTATGATGTCGTGGTAAGCACTTACTCTGACTTGATGCTGAAGAAAAATAATTCATGGTTATTTTCAGACTGATAGAGTCATAAAACTATTTTTGTCAAGTCTAGGTTTGTTTGCTCCCCCCGACCACCCCCATGCCCCCGTAAGAATAAAGGAAATTAAAAAAAAAAAAAAGAATAAAGGGAATCTTCTGTCTGCATTAAACTAAATGCAGGAAATGGGTAAGCCACAAATGATCCATCAGTTGGTAGCTACTTAATACAACCAAAACCCATTGCCATCAAGTCAGTTCCCACTCAGAGCAACTCTATAGGACAGTTGAACTGCCCAAAGGCTTTCTAAGGCTGTCGTCTTTATGACATCAAACTGCTGCGTCTTTCTCCCGCAGAGCTGCTGGTGGGCTTGAACCTCCAACCTATCAGTTAACAAGTACTGAACCACTTCACCTCCAGAGCTCTTTAGTTATTAATAAGCATTTTAAAATCTAGAATTCAACCTGGGTTATTACTCTAATCACTGTGCCATATAATCCAGCTCTCTCTCACCTGGTCTTATCTGTTCTTTGAGTTTCTTTAAAGTAGCCCAGGAATATACTAACTCAGAGCATTTGTGTGTTCATGCAGAGTTCAACATGAAAGAAGCCATGGTGGCACAGTGGGTTAAGCATTGTGTTGCTAACTGAAAGGTCAACAGTTCAAATCCACCAGCTGCTGTATGGGAGAAAGACATGGCCGTCTGTTTCTGTAAAGCTTCACAGCCCCAGAAACCCAATGGAGCAGTTCCATTCTGCTCTACAGGGTCACTATGAGTCAGAATCGACTCAATGGCAGTGCGTCTTGCTTTCGTTTGGTATATTTGACATGCAAGAAGCTGCACATATTTAAAGTACAGTTGAATATGATTTGCATAAAACCATCAGTAAAAGTAATGACCCTATCCAGAATTCAAAATAGTGAGTTGAGAGTGTAACTATTTCCCATGTTGATTTAAAGTAAAAAAAACCAACTGGTTCTCTTAACACTTGTTTATTTGCTTAACAACTATTTTTTGAACCCTTATTCTGTTCTAAGCCCTAACCTATTACTATCCTCCAGGGTTTGGGGGTTTGTTTTTTTAAGTGTAACTTCTGATTCAAATGGATTGAACTATCTTATTTAATATCTAAGTTCTTCACTAAACTACTTCTTGAGGCAAAAACTCATTTAGTAATTGGTCCTGACACTTGCCAGTGATTAAAAAAAAAGTTAACACCTGTGTGTGCCAGGTGGTGTTCTAAGCTCTTTACATGAAGTAACCCGACAAGTGGTGTTACTATCTTTTCTTTACAGAGGTCAAGAAAGAAGCGTTAATTTTGAGAATGGAAGACTTAATGCCCTGAACTCTTTCAATTTACCTATGCTATCAGTGGAGTCCTGGTGTGGTGCTACAGGATAAGCGCTGGACTGCTAACTACAAGGTTGGCAGTTCAGACCCACCAGCCACTCCTTGGAAGCCCTATACAGCTTCACTATGAGTCAGAACTAACTCAACAGCACTTAACAACAGTGTGTATCGCTGAAGTCATTTCTAGATTTTGGTTGGTTGAGATAGTTTGCAGCCCTACTGGGACTTCATTTGTCCTCTCCTTCCTGTGGGACTGAGACAATGCCACCTCTAATTACTCTTTTCTAATTTAGCCATATCCAAGTAATACACTCTCTAGTCTGTATGCAAAATACTGAGCCTAGAGGGGAACATTGAGAATGTTAAACAGCCCACTGTATGATGATGCTGGGATGGAGGGAAATGTTTATCTTTTTTCAATTTCTTTTCATGTTGAATATTGTTTTTACAATAAAGAAAATGAGAAGCATTCAGGAGATTCAATAACCAACCGCGCCAGACAGTCTATGACTGAGACAGAACAAATAGTGGGAGTCCATAACGGTTTATTGTTGGTTTCCGTACGCCAAAGTCTTAAGTCTCTTTTCTTTCATCTGGCAGCCCTCATTTTACTGTTTCTTTCTTACTGCTTCTTCCCTCCCCTAGAATTTGGCTGCTGCTTTGGCAGTGACAGACACAACCTAATCTGTCAGCAAGACACTTGCAGAAACACCAGGGATTATGCAGAAGAATTTCAGCTGGTTGTTCCTGTTCCTAGGCCACACCACAGTCCCATCTGCCAGCCTCTGGTGCTCAGAGCCTATCAGTGCTTGGCTTTGATCAAAGGCATCCCCTGCCACAACAGAAATGCCCCCTGATGAAGCCCATCCTCTGCTTGATGGCCTCAACATCCTATAACTACCTCTTCTTCCTTTTTAATTTTTTTATACCAGGGTTTTTCAAATTTTCAAACAACTGTAGTTATGGTGAATTGAAAGATAAGATCTTTGGTGGATTAAAAAATATGAAAAATTTAGCCACAGAATTCATCATTTAAGATTAGAAGCATCTGTCCAAGGTGAAGGATATGATTGTCAAAATTAGCGTGGAAATTGTATCTTCTTCAGGCCAAACTTGGTTACACTCACTGCCGCCTTCTTCTTCTTTATTAGACAGAAAAGCTGACGAGGAGAGAAGTAGAAGCTAAATTTTGTAATCTGTCTTTGTCATCTAATAGTGTAAGTACCTCCTAGCAGTGTTATTGCCGCTTTTTCTGTCATTTTGTGAGACCAGGCATGTCACCGAATCCTTCCTGCAGGAGGATAGCAGCAATCCCCACCACCTCACAGAGGCAGACGCAGTTTTTCCCTTGAGTGTTAAAAGGAACCATGGCAACCTCTGGGGTTGGGAGAAGATGAAAAACTAATACTGGATCAAAGAGTCTCTCCCCATGGGTCTTCTTAATGTGCTGTAATCATCTTGCTCGAACTTGGTCACCAGATACTTTCTCTTATACCTCTTTTAAAGGCTGTGCTAGGCAGTGTTCCCACTGAACATATTTAGCACTAGTTGTCTTTTTCTGAAATAGACTATTGAAGACTAGAGTGAGGCATAGAAATCAACAAATGCATTTGAGTATCTCTTCTGGTCCTCTAGCTCCTCAGACTTGATTGAATTAAAGCTCGTGCTTCTCTGGTACATTTCCTACTCCTAAAATCTTACATTTGGTCCCAACGGCAATGACAGAAGTCTTATGGAAGAAACAGGCTTGCTGTATTCTGTCTACAGGCATTAGATTGATCCCAGATCTTTGACACAGTAACCCACACTTAATTGAGTAGTAGAAGACAACAGGGATTACTATCTTCCTGAAAATTTATATAAAAAGGGAGTTTTTTTCCTTAACTTTCCAAGAGCCATTCTAGCCCCTGCTCTGGCACTCAATTACATGATCCTGTGATGATCAGCAGAACGCATATATGGGCTAGAGGGAGATATGATTATACACACAGGCAGGTAACTCACTCAGTCTTTTGGACAGCTAGGGTGTGACAGACCTAGTACTGGGGACATAAAGTGTAATAAATTCAGGGGGTCCACAGACAGAATTCGGGGATACATGCAGCATATATCTACTGTCAGCTTTTTCAACCAACTTTCACATGTCAAGTATCAACCACAGTTTTAAGAGATCACCCTTACAGCTTGGAGGTAGGGCAAGCAGACATAACTGTATAGCGCTAAGAGCTTTGAAAATTGAGCCAGATTAAATTTTTCTTGGAACAAGGTAGCCAATGGTATAGTACTAAAATATGAAGAACTAAAATATCAAGGAGCTCTAGTAGTGTAGTGGTTACGATTCGGGCTGTGAACCTTAAGGTCAGCAGTTCGAAACTACCAGCCACTCCACGGGAGAAAGATGAGGCTTTCTGCTCCCGACTCGACGGCACTTAACAACAACAACAACATAGAAGCGCAGTGACTGTAGGGTAAGCACTGGACTGCAAACCACAAGGTTGGCAGATTAAACATACTAGCTATTCTATGGGAGAAAGATGAGGCTTTCTGCTCCCACAAAGATTTATAGCCTTGAAAATCCTATACAGGGTCGCTGTGAGTCGGAACTGACTCAAACAGTACTTAACAACAATAACAATAGGCAGATGATTGTCTAGATATTCTAGACATGTACACAGCATGCTCCTATGTGTACAAATAGCCCCCTATATAAATAGCACAAAGTTGACTACTCAGGTACAAGAAAAGTTTGAATTTATAAATCAGACAGTTTTAATATAAAAAATTTGTCCACTGATTCCCTACCTAAAGTTTCAAGCCCAAATGGTTCTTTGAACTCATTTTATATTTCAAAAAGTCTCACAAACATTATATATTTCCACAGGCTACAACTATATCAATTGCTGAATGCCAGTTTATTTGTTTTGCTAACTCTCTACTCGCTGGTTATTATATAATGTGAAGATTTATTGTAGATTGTGTGTTTGATTCATACCAGGGAATGTGCTCGGCCCACAGACAGATCATCTCTAGCCCTTTTCTCTTCTACAGCTGGTGAGAGCTGGGATCTGGGGTCAAGGCTAGAGCCAGGGGGAAGATAGGTCAGGAGGCTGTGTACAAGAAAGGACATCCCAGATGCATCCTAAAGCTGTGAATAGGAATGATTCAGACAAAAAGAGAAGAGAGAATTCCTGACTAATTGGGTGTAGTATTAGAATGCCTGTCCTTGAATTAAGTGTTGGAAATACCTGTCGGAAGGCCATTCATAAAGAATGAGAAAGGTGAAAAGGAGCAATACTGGCTAGAAATGATATGATGGAGGTTCTGCCGGTGCCCAGGTCTGCTGTGCTGGGGTCAGCATTAACTGAGGGGAAGTGTGTGTGCATCAGAATGAACTAAGTACATGTCTGCAGCACTTCTGGGAGGTACTTTACAGTTGGTGGAAAAGGATGATCATCATTTGGGATGGTGGAGGTGGTTCAGATTACCTTTGACCACAGAGTTCCCTTTGGAACTTGTGAGATGTAAAAATTCAGCATATCTGCCAGTGTGTATGAAACCCAATGCAAGGTGGGTCTCCCCCTACTGTGTATTGGAAGCTAACTCTGACCCTTTGCTTTTCAGCTGTGTCGACTGTACAAATTTATTGAGCAGAAGGGAGATTTGCAAGATCTAACACCAACAATAAATTCTTTAATAAAACAGAAAACAGGTGTTGCCCAATTAGTGAAATACGGTTTAAAAGATCTAGAAGAGGTGATCGGACTGTTGAAGAAACTTGGCATAAAGTTACAGGTTTGGCCAACTCTTTGATTTGGGCATTATAGAGTTGTAGCATTAATAATAACACTAGGGGAAAATGGGTTTTATTTTATTATTGCTAGTAAGCCTTTTATTTCCCAGAAATACTCTGCTTTCTCCATCCTGGAGCACTTAGTATCTATAATAATCTTGGTTTACATCAGGATTTCTTTGTAAGCATCATGATTTCTATTGTACAGCAATAGCTTTAATGTGTGCATTAGCTTTAGAGAGGTGGTTCTTCTTAAAGAGAGGAGAGTTTCTCTTACTTGGCAGGCTGTAGTTAAACAGGCTTTGTACTAGATCTTACTGAATATTTTGTTTATGATAAAATATCCTGCCACTATTGGTAGAAAACAGTGTTTTCAGCTTTGCATTCCACATTCTAAGCCCCCAGCCTGTGACACATTCATGTGACTTTCACTTTGCAGATCTTAATCAACTTGGGCTTGGTTTACAAAGTGCAGCAACATAACGGAATCATCTTCCAATTTGTGGCATTCACCAGACGAAGGCAAAGGGCTATACCTGAAATCCTTGCAGCTGGTGGCAGATATGACCTGCTGGTGAGGGCCTACTCAAACTTAATTTTTTTTTTTTTTTTTTTTTTTTTTTTTTTTGCTTAATTTTATTTCCTTTCCAGCTTAGTACTTGGAAATTCTTCATTCGATAGAAAATTTGAATCATTTGTACAATTGAGCACCGGTAGAAATAGAAATAGAATGTGAACCACATTTGTCTTTTTTTTTAATTTTCTTTCTAAATAATTATGGGGTTGTAGGAAGTTCCAGCGACAGTATCCTCACCCATTTTCTCCCACTGGTTAGAGCTTGCATAGCTTTAGTAAAATATGAAAACCAGAAAATTAACATCAGTACAATGTGTGTGTATAGGTCTGTCTCATTTGATTGCAAGTAGATTTCAGTAACCACCACCACGACCACCACCACCACCAAAACACAGAGCTACTTCATATCACTGCAAATATCTACCAGCATCAACACTTTACCAGTTCAAATGAGCTATAGATTGTCAATTCTAGTCTCCTTTCAGTTGTTTTAAATATTTCTTCTCTGTACACTGACAGTCACATCGGACAGACTTTTTGTTTCAACTATCAAACACAATTTAGAGAACTTAAAAGGAGAAGGAAAGTCTATTGTGTTGTTAATTGCTATCGAGTTCATTCCGACTCAGTGACCCTGTGTAGGGTTTCCAAGGGTGTGAAAGTCTTTGGTATTTATTCATAAATTTGTTCTTTCCATTGCTTTTCAAGAACTTCCTTGTCCATTATTATAGGGTGGGTCTGCTTATAACAAAGTCTCTGTATATCTTTGTCTGAGAATGTTTTTATATCTCTTTCTTGAAGGCTTTTGCTGGGTATTAGACAGTTCTTTTCTTTCTGCACTTGAAAAATGCTGTGCTGCTTTCTTCTGGCCTCCGTGGCTTCATAGGAGAAATCCACGGTCATTCAACTTGGTTTTCCCCTTCAGGATGTCATTTATTGATTGATGCTTGCAAGATTTTTTTCATCTTTGGTTTCTGGTGTGAAATTTTCTGATGTGTCTTGGCAAAGATTCTTTGGATTTATCTTGTTTGGGGTTTGCTCAGCTTCTTGAACTGCTAGATATACATCTTTTACCAAGTTGGGGGATTGTACATCCATTATTTCTTTGATGACACAAATAGTGGATTTTTTGTTACAGTCCCTCCTGTCCCTGAGGTTCCACATATTTTAGTTTTTCTCTATTTTCTCCCTCTTGTGTAGTTAATTTTATCTTCAATTTCACTGATTCATTCTTCTCCTCTCCATCCTGCTGTTGAGCCCATCCAGTGAGCCTACTCAAACTTCAGTTTTTGCTGAGTCTGTTATTTCATTTGTTTCTAACGTTCAAGTATTTTTATGATGTTGTTGTTGTTGTCAAGTGCCATTGAATAAAATTCTTCTCATATAATTCTAACATCTCTGTTATCTTGGTGTTGGTATCTGTTGATTATCATTTTTCATTCAGTTTAAGATCTTAATAGGTTCTTGGTTTCATGTGTAATTTTCAGTTGTATCCTGGACATTTTACATATTATTATGATACTCGGTCTTATTTAAATCTTCTGGCACTTCCTCTAACACTATGCCATGGAGGAAGGGGGAGAATACTGCCCCACTGATACCAGGGGGAGTGAAGGTACAGATTCTTCACTTAACTCCATTGTCCTCCTGGTTGGGATGTGGGCTCCTATGAGATGTCCACTGACAAGAGGAGAAAGGGCTTCTCACCACGTGCCTCTACTGATACCACGGAGGCAGTCTTCATTATATCTGGACTAGAGTGGACATCTAGGCTCCCCACTCAGTCTTTGCTGGTGACAGTGAGCCGATGTCTTATTCATGACATTTGGCTGGAGCAGTACAGTTATTGTGTAAGTGTTTCATCTTGCTAGATTGCCCCTTTCCTGGTCCGTCAGCTAAAAAAGTGGACTTTCCCTGGGGCATCTTTTGTCAGCATGCATTGGCATTTCTGGGTTACTGGTTTCTCCTACACCCAGTTCAGGATATATGAGACAAAAGGAAAAGATGAGGAACTCCCTACATGTTCTTCAGATCCCAAAGTTCCTAGTCAGCATGCCCTGTTGTCTCTACCTTTCCGAGTCTTGTTGTTTGTTTTGTGTATAATGACCAGGATTTTTAGATGTACTCAGCAGGAGGAACAGGGGAAAGCGTGCCTACTCCATCTTGTTCAGGAATGGAAACCTGTGTACGTATGGAGCTTTTAGTTTTCTAGCAACATTTAAAAAGATCCCTGGTAGTACAGTGGTTAAAGAGCTCAGCTGCTAACCAAAAGGCCAGTGGTTCAAAGCCCCCAGTCACTCCACAGGAGAAAGATTAGGCAGTCTGCATCTGTAAAGATTTCCAGCCTTGAAAACCCTATGGGATTGTTCTACTCTGTCCCATTGAATTGATCAGCACCAGAAGGTTTGGGTTCTTTTATGCTTTTAGCAACACTTAAAAAGTAAAAAATGGGTGGAATTAATTTTAATAATACATATTTTATTTAGCCTAAGTGTATCCAAACTATTATTTCAACATGAGAGCAAACTTTTAAAACTTTTTAATGAGCCATTAAACATTTTTTTTTCATACTGTCTTTGCAGTTGGTAGTATTTTACATGCACAACACATATGAATGTGGATTAGCCATATTTCTTGTGCTGAGCAGCCACATGTGGCTGCCTTATTGAATAGTACAGCCCTAGATGTAGCATTTGTTAACATTTTCTACATTTGCATACTTGCCTACTTTTCTCTCTTTCTCTCTACAGACACACACACACTTCTTTTTGCTGAAACTTGTGATGAGAAGTTGCTGACAGTGCTTATCCTTTTCTGATTGCTTTTCCCATAATGGACATTTTCTTCTCCATTTCATAACAGAACTGTGTGTGTCTCTCTCCAGATTCCACAGTTTAGAGGACCACAGACTCTCGGGCCAGTCCCCACCGCCATTGGAGTCAGCATTGCTATAGACAAGATATCTGCTGCTGTCCTCAACATGGAAGAACCTGTGAGTTCTGGCTGTGCTCTCCAGAATCCTTTGGAATACCTTTCAGTTCTGAAAGTATACTTTACCTTTTGTAGTAATTTAAGGGAGCCCCAGATGTGGCAGGTATCTGCTAAGGCTTTGATGCATTACCTGTAACATAGTAGAAAAGCTGAAGACTTGACATCAGTCTTGCATTCCAGTCCTTACCCTCTCCTTTTCAACAGGGGGACTTTGGGGAGTTCATATACCCTTTCATATAAAAGTTCTTAACAGTGTTATTTTTCTTCTTCCACATCCTTTTGAAGGAACTCTGGTGGCACAGTGGGTTAAGCATTAAGCTATTAACTGAAAAGTCAGCAGTTCAAATCCACAGGGTGCACCATGGGGAAAAAATGGGGCGGTCTGCTTCCATACAGATTTACAACCTCGAGACCCTATGGAGCAGTTCTGTGCTTTCCTATAGCATTGTTATGAGTCAGAATCAACTCGATGGCAGTGGGTTTTTTGGTTCTGTCATTTTGAAACAATTCTGTGCATCGTGTTACTGTATGAGATTCTGAGCACTCACATGAGCGCTGCCTCCCTTACTGGTACTGGTGCCACATACACGCCAGCACTCACGCTTTTAAATGTAACCAGTCTTTGTTTCTGCTTCAGGTTACAATAAGCTCTTGTGACCTCTTGGTTGTGAGTATCGGCCAGATGTCCATGTCCAGGGCCATAAACCTAACCCAGAAGCTCTGGACAGCAGGAATCACAGCAGAGATTATGTATGACTGCTCACAGGTAATGAGACTTGAGTACCTGTAAGTCCAGTATAAACAGTTACGGTTGGAATGACAGAGTATCTTCTATACCTTTAAATTCTGTCAAACCAGATGTATCTCTCTGGTTGCAGGGGCTTCCTTATTAATCTCCTCTTGCTGCGGGAACAAATTATTACAAATTTAGTGACTTCAGACAGCGTAGCCTTATTATCATATAGTTCTGGAGGTCAGAAATCCAGAATCCTTTTCACCAGCTAAAATCAAGGTGTTGGCTGGGCTGGTTCCTTCTGGAGGATTGAGGCAGCATCTGTTTCCTTGCCTTTTCTATCTTCTAGAGGCTGCCTGCATCCCTTGACTCATGGCCCTCGGTCTTCAGAGCCACTGGTGTAGCATCTTCTCTGACTCAGACCCTCCCGCCTTTCTCTTCTAAGGACCCTTGTGATTACAGTGGACTCACCCAAATAATCCAGCATAACCTCCCCCTTTTCAAAATCCTGAACTTAATGATTTCTGCAAAGCCTATATACTTTGCAAAACTTAATGACATTTGCAAAGGTAACAGATTCATAGTTTCTAGGGATCAGGACATGGACATATATGCAGACTTCAAAAAGTTCATGGGAAAATTCCATCATCTTTTCATTCTGTTTTTCCACAAACTTTCTGAAGCCCCTGTATTTGCAGGGACGTTATCCAATTTAACACACTTTCCAAAGGCATTCTGCGGTTAGTGTGTTTGTGGTTTTGTATCCCTGGGCTCCCCACCTGCCCTGGGTGTGAAGGTGAGGAAAGTGGCACCCCTGACTAACCACCTGCCCTTTAGAACGGGAGCCCCTCAGGGAACCAACCTCCCTACTGCCATAAGAGGACCACGGAAAGGGCTGCGCTCCCTGGTGAACACACATTCATCTACACTAAAGGTGTCCAGAGTGTGGAGAGATGACCAGGGTCACAAAACACGCCCTCCATCACCCCCAGTCCTTCCTCATCAGCAGCCCAGACCTCGGGAGCTGCTGCTGTCCACATTGGTGTTTGCTGCTTATCAATCAGTATCAGAGGCCTGCTGCGCCTCTGTTTTCATTCATTCACCACAGCAATATCCTCTTGCTTCCTAACATGTAAAAGCCATGTTCTGACTCACAGTAAAATGTGAAGCCAGTATCAATTACTTCAGTCTGCCAGTTACGTCGTCTGCAGACTTCCTATGCTTGTTTGCTTTCTGCCTTCGTGCTGCTATTTCTTTTCCAAAGTCTCTGTTGTTACCTTGGGATGAGGGGGCTATTAGTTTTTGGCATTGTCCATTAAGATTGGAAGCTTTGGAAAAACCTCTTATTGTTTCCCAACCCATTGTTGATTATCCAGTTGTGAACGTGAACGTGTAAGGAAAGGAAAGCATGAGTCTCATTCGCCTTTGAATCCTGTGCTTAATATTCATAGCCCCTGGAAGCAGCATGTTTAATAATACATTCTGAGAAGACAATTGAAAACAGGATTTTCATGCTCCTTAGTTACTTGAAAATGCTCCAGGTGCTCAGTATTTGTTTTTCTTTACACTGTATTTTATTTGTTTCAGTCCCAGGAGGAATTGCAAGAGTACTGCAGACAGCGAGAAATCACCTACGTGGCTCTCATCTCAGATAAAGAAGGAAGCCATGTTAAGGTAGAAATCACTGGAAACGTGGCCCAATTCAACAGTCAGATTTCCCAAACTATGTCTTAACAGGGGTGCACCAACTTCCCACTAAAGCCTGGCCCTGTGTGTAGATTGAAATCCATTTCCTCAGATCATCTGGTGAATGCTGGGCTTGTTACAGGAGAAAACAAGGGAGGGAGGATCTGCATCTGAGCACTTTTCTAGAGCTGTAAAAACAGAAAGGAAAAACAATAGCTGTAGCTGCTTCCTTCTTTTCTCCCTGTGTTCTCTTTTTCTATATAAGAAAATAAGAATAAGAACCAGAGCTGCTAGATGCTGGCTGGTATGGACTCTGGCTGCTTCCTAAGCTATTGAACAGTGTTGCATTTAGCTGAAAAGGTTCCTAGATCTGTCACCTGTATTCTTGTACTCTTGATTTCTAATTTTTTGGAGAGGTGGGAGTGGGTTAGAAATAAGGAGTGAAGGCTAGGGTTGGAACTATGGCTATGTCTTGGCTAAGCCTGGGACTTTGTTTATTGTTAGGATTAGGGTTAGTGTTGGGAGTAAGGGTTGGGCTTGGTCTAATTTATAGGGTTACAGTTAGGTTTTATTTATTTAAAATCTATTTGATTTCTTCTTCATTTGGAAGTTTTATAACTGCATTATATTTTGTTGTTATTGTTACAACTGTATTTCTGGTTCTGTTTTTAGTCTTCTAAGTCTGTTTTACTTTGCATGCTTCTACTTCTGGGTTGCATCTAGGTGATACTGTCATGTATGTTACTCTCAGGTTGCTTCCTGCTCTTGTTGGTTCTCTGTCCAAAGAACTCCCTTTATTTCTAATATTTTTTAAAAGAGGGAAAAATTACTCTTTTAATGTGATTTTGCCCCCTTTAGTTAAAATAGAATCATAAAGACTGATCTGTGTCCTATCATGTTTTTATATATTCTGCTGCCTCTTTCTTTTCCAGTCTAAGCATTTGGGGCATGTTGTAGGAAAGATTTCGATACATAAAATTTTAAAACATAAACTAAATAAAACAGTATGTACACATATGCACATTCATATGCATGTCAGTGAAGAAGACTTAAAATATTTACTGATGAAGATCAAAGAGAACAGCCTTTGGTATGGATTGCATCTCACTTTAAAGAAAACAAAATCCTCACCACTGGACCAATAAACAACATTCTTATCAACAGCGGATTCTTCTTGGATCAATTATCAACACTCAAGGAAGCAGCAGTCAAGAAATCAAGGGACGTATTGCATTAGGCAAATCTGCTGCACAAGACCTTTCTAAAGTGTTGAAGACTAAGGTGTGCCTGACCCAAGCCATGGTATTTTTCAATAACCTCATATGCATGCAAAAGCTGGACAGTGAATAATGAAGACCATACAAAGAATTGATGCTTTTGAGTTATGGTGTTGGAAGAAAATATTAAAGGTACCATGGGCTGCCAAGAGAACCAACAGATCTGTTTTGGAAGAAGTGCAGCCAGAGTGCTCCTTGGAGGCCAGGATAACCAAACTTCATCTCTCATACTTCAGACATATTGTAAGGAGGGACCAGTCACTGTTTGGTAGGGTGAAGGGTCAGAGAAAAAGAGGAAGACCCCCAGTGAGATGCATTGGCCAAGTGGCAGCATCCATGGGCTCAAGCGTGGCAACAGTAGTGAGGTTGGCCCAGGATCAGGCAGTGTTTCATTCTGCTGTGCATAAGGTCACTATGAATCGGTACCTACTCGATGGCACCTAACAACAACAACAACAACAACATGCATGTCAACAGTGTAGAAAGGATAGTGTCATCCACATGTCTGAAAACAAAAAGAGCCCCCACACATCAGTAGCCTGCCAAGGGTTCACTTTTTTACATGTGGACACCCAGTTGTTCCAGCTTTTGTTGTTGAAAAGGCCATCCTTTCGTCATTGAATTATTTTGACACCTTGTTGCAAATCAATTCACCATAGTCTGTTGTTGTTGTTAAGTGCCGTGGAGTCGATTCCGACTGATAGCGACCCTGTATAGGGTTTCCAAGGAGCAGCTGGTGAGCTTGAACCGCCAATCTTGTAGTTCAAACGGCTTTGTGGTCTGGCGCATTAACGCATAGCGCTCCATTATTTAAGTCTTTCAGAAATTCTCAGAACTGTTTCGTAATGTTGGATGTATAGCTTTTTCACATTTTTTTTTTAATTTAGTGTAAGTATTCATGTTTATTGATGCTGTTGTAAGTTGAATTATATTTTTAATTTGAATTTCCAGACATTTACTTCCAGCATATAGAAATGGAAATGATTTTTGTATGTTGATCTTGTCTCGTCTGACCCTGCTAAACTCTTTATTAGTTCTGATAGCTTTTTGGTAAATTCTTTGGGATTTTCTACATAGATGGTCATATTGTTTGTGAATTTTAAACAGTTTTATCAGGTTGGGAAGTATTCTTATTTATTCATAGGAGCTGAGAGATTTACCATGAATGGGTATTAAATGTCAAATACCTGTTTTACATTCATGGAGGTGATTGTCATTAGAAGAGAGCTGACACAGCTATCCTGAGACTGCTCTCATCTAGGAACTTGGATTCTCCATTTCTCAATCACAATGGCTCACTACACCTAAACTGTCTATAGAAGCAATGTGGCTTGTGCCAAACACCTGCTATGGTTTTGAGAGTCTGAAATTTTGGTATCTTCCTCTGCTTTACTTTAGATAGGTCACTGATCTTTTCTCCTGCTGTGTCTAATCTACTACTAATCTCATCCAGTGTATTTTTCATTTCAGATACAGTATTTTTCATCTGTAAAGATAATCATTTTTATGTCTTTCCTCATCATGATTCTTATTTTCTTTACATTTTTTTATATGAGTTATGATAATTGTTTTAAGATCTATGTCCACAAATTCCGTTATTTCTAATATTTTGGGGTCTATTTCTGTCCATTGGTACTGGTTATGAATCCATTTTTTATTGGTTATTGGACATTATTAATTTTACATGGTTGAGTTTATTTATTCATGTAAATACTGCTGGGCTTTGTTCTATGCCAAGAAATTTGGAAGACAGCTACCAATTGGAATAGATCCATATTTATGCCCATTCCAAAGAAAGGTAACGCAACAGAATGCAGAGTTCATTGAATGATATCATTAATATCACATGCAAGTAAAATTTTGCTGAAGATAATTCAACAATGGCTGCAGCAATAATACATTGACAGGAAACTGTCAGAAATTCAAGCTATATTCCAAAAAGGACATGGAACTAGAAATATTATTTCTGATGTCAGATGGCTCTTTTCTGACAGTGGAGAATACCAGAAAGACATTTACTTGTGCTTTATTGACTGCAATGGTGTCCGTGCGAGTAAAGTTTTGCTAAAGGTAATACAGAAACAGCTGCAAGCATACATTGATACAGAACTTCCAGAGGTTCAAGCCAGATTCAGAAGCGGTGGAATGAGGGATATCACTGCTGATGTCCGATGGATCTTGGCTGAAAACAGAGAATATCAGAAAGACGCTTACCTGTGCTTTATTGACTACGCAGACGCTTTTGATTGTGTGGATCATGACAAGCTATGGACAACATTGTGAAGTATGAATATTCTGGAACACTTAATTGTGCTCGTGAGGAATCTCTACATGGACCAAGAGGCAGTTGTTCAAACAGAACATGGGAAAACTGAATGGTTTAAAATTAAGCAAGGGATGTGACAGGGTTGTATTCTTTCACCATACTTATTCAACCTATATGCTGAGCAAATAATCCTAGAAACTGGGTTATATGAAGAAAAACATGGCATCAGAACTGGAGGAAGACTCATTAACAACCTGTGATATGCAGATGATATAACCTTGTTTGCTGAAAGTGAAGAGGACTTAAAATATTTACTGATGAAGATCAAAGAGCACAGCCTTCAATATGGATTACATCTCAATGTAATGAAAACAAAATCCTCACCACTGGACCAATAAACAACATTCTTATTAATGGAGAAAAGAGTGAAGTTATCAAGGACTTCATTCTTCTTGGATCAACTATCAATACTCATGGAAGCAACAGTCAAGAAATCAAACGACATATTACATTAGGCAAATCTGCTGCACAAGAGCAAAGATGTCAGCTTGAGGGCTGAGGTGCACCTGACCCAAGCCATGGTGTTTTCAGTAACCTGATATGCATATGAAAGCTGGATAGTGAATAAGGAAGACCGTAGAATTGATGCTTTTGAGTGATGGTGTTGGAGGAGAATATTGAAAGTGGCATGGGCTACCAAAAGAACAAACAGATTTGTGTTGGAAGAAGTGCAGCGAGAGTGCTCCTTGGAGACCAGGATAGCCAAACTTCATCTCTCATACTTCAGACATATTGTCAGGAGGGACCAGTCGCTGGAAAAGGATAACATGTTTGGTAAGGTGGAGAATCAGAGAAAAAGAGGGAGATCCCCAGCTAGATAGATTGGCAAAAGTGGCAGCAGCAGTGAGCTTAAGTGTGGCAACAACTGTGAGGTTGACCCCGGACCGGGCAGTGTTTCATTATATTGTGCATAGGGTCGCTATTAGTCAGTACTGACTTGATGGCACCTAACAACAACAACAACAATGACATTTAACTGTGTGATCTTAAAAAACTGTGAATAACATGGCAAAGAATGGGTATTACAGAACACTTAATTGTGCTCATGAGGAACCTGTACATAGACCAAGAAGCAGTTGTTAGGACAGAACAAGGGGATACAACCCAAATGCACACAAGAATGGTGTGCATTTGGGTTGTGCCCTTTCACCATACTTATTCAGTCTGTATGCTAAGCAAATAAATCTGAGAAACTAGATTATATGAAGAAGAACGTGGCATCAGGATTGGAGGAAGAGTCTTAACCTGTGATAAACAGATGATAAACAGCACTTAACAACAGCAACAGGGAGCCATTGAGTGTTTGGACAAACAGAAGACTTCAAAATTGTAATTGAGAAAAAGTAATTTTCAGGGATGTGTGGTGGTGGTGGTGTTAAGTGCTGTCAGGTTAGTTTCGACTCATAGCGACCCATTGTTTCTGAGGAGTAGCTGGTGGGTTTGAACTGCTGACCTTATGGTGAACAGTCCACTCTTAACCTATAGCACCACACCAAGATTCCAGGGACATGTAGCAGGGATTAAAACTAGGAAAAACTGAAGAAAGGGATAGCAGTATGAGTAATGTCAGGGTCACCCCAACCAAGATTGGATACTGGACTCACAAGTGAAGATGAAAGATCAGATACCATAAAAGTGGACAACATGACTTGAGTCTGAAAAGAAGAGAAGTTATAAATGATGCCCCGGTCTACAGAACCCTGACAACTGGCCAGGGGGTGTTTAAGAGGAAGAATGTTTGAACGAACCAAATGAAAATGGGAGCTGGATCATCTAAAATCGGCTATTCTCATCTGAACCAGGGTTTCTCAACAGTATTTACTTTTACATTTGGGGCCAGATTCTTTGTTAAGGGGCTACCTGTTCATTATAGAATGTTTAGCAGCATCTTCACCTCCACCCATTAGACGCCAGTGTTGTTGTTAAGTACTGTTGAGTCAATTCCGACCAATAGTGACCCTGTATAGGTTTTCCAAAGAGCAGCTGGTGAGCTTGAACCACCGACCTTGCAGTTCATACAACTTTGCAGTCTGATGCATTAGCCCACAGCACCCAACCAGGACTCCTATTCGATGCCAGTTGTTGTTGTTGTTAAGTGCCATAGAGTCGATTCTGACCCATAGCAACCCTGTATAGGGTTTCTGAGGAGCAGCTGATAAGCTTGAACTGCCGACCTTGCAGTTCAAACAGCTTTGCAGTCTGGCGCATTAACCCACAGGGCCACACCAGGACTACCAGTTGTTGTTGGTTGGTGCCATTGAGTTGGTACCAACCCATAGCAACCTTATGCACAGCAGAATGAAACAGTGCCCGATCCTGGGCCAACCTCGCTATTGTTGCCATGCTTGAGTCCGTCGATCCTGCCACTTTGCCAATCCATCTTGTTGGGCGCCTTCCTCTTTTTCTCTGACCCTCCACCTTACCAAATATAATATCCTTCTCCGGTGACTGCTCCCTCCTGACAATATGTTCAAAGTAGTACTGCTTAAAGTTGTGATAACCAAAATGGCCGCCAGATGTCTTCTAGGCGGTAAAATCACCACCAGTTGAGAACTGCCAGTCTGTGCTGTTGATTCAGTAGTCTTACGATGGCACTCTGATCCAGCCTTTTGGCTTCAGAAACCTCAACATGATTTATTTGTTCATTTCTTTTCAAGGTTAAATCTTTCGAGAAAGAAAGGCAAACAGAGAAACGTGTGCTGGAATCCGATCTTGTGGACCATATGGTGCAGAAACTGAGGACTAAAGTCAGTGATGAAAGGAGTATCAGGTAACTTACCTCACAAAAGCCCAGAAAATCAGCTGTGACTACTTGCATTGTTGTTAAGTGCCATCAAATCAGTTCGAACTCATAGTGACCCTGTATAGGGTTTCCGAGGAGCGACTGGTGAGCTTGAACCGCCAACCTTGCAGGTCAGACATACCTTGCAGTCTAGCACATTAACCCACAGCACCACACCAGGACTCCGACTACCTGCATAGAACCTATATAAATTTATTTTAAAGTCAGTTTGATCCTTCTGGGAAATAAAGGTAGGTCAGGATCACATTTTTTTTGTTTTTATTGTGAATTGAGTGATAGTTTGCATGGGGGAACATCAGTTTTACACTCATTGTTTCATTGCAATGATTACAGTCTCCTCTGTGCATCATCATTCAATAGTATTTGCTTCTATTTCCTGTTTCTTTCAGGATCACTTTTATATGAACACTCAGTATCTCTGAACACTACGATCAGCAGTTTACTCTTGATCAGTGTAAATGTTACGGAAGACTGCCACATCTTTCTCCATGAAGTAGCTAGGAGAATCAAACTGCCAGTCTTTTGGTTAGCTGGCAAGCACTTAACCACTTCACCATGAAGACTTTCTTGGTTTAGTGATATCACCCCTTATATAAGATTTAGGAGCCCTGATAGCTGCAGGATAAGCACCGAACTGCTAACCACAAGGTTGCCAGTTCAAACCCACTGGCTGCTCTTGAAAAAGATGAGACTTTCTGCTCCTTTAAAGGTTTATAACCTCAAAAACCCTATACGGGGTTGCTAGGAGTCCCAATCAACTGGATGGCGGTGGGTTTATAAAAGACTAGTAACATCTCCTTTTTAATAGTCTTTATTTCATTTTAAAGAATATCTTATTCTTCTGAAAGCTTAAGGAATCAAAATCTACCTAACATTATCTTATTAAGCCTGTTGTTTTTTTGTTGCTGAGCCGTCGAGTTGGTTTCGACACATAGCGACCCTGTATAGGGTTTCCAAGAAGCAGCTGGTGAGCTTGAACCGCCCGCCTTGCAGTTCAAACCAACAAACAGAATATTTTCATATTTTGACAGATATTTTAATGCTCTATTTTACATTTTATAATATTAATAGAAGACAACTAGATTCTCGTGTCTGCTTCTGCATGCAATATGTTGTGATAATTTATGTCATGTAGTCTCTGGAAAATTCCACTGTACATTCATGAAAGGATGAGAGTGGAAGAAGGCAAATAATGTCTTAGGATTATTATGAAAATAATTTTGAGTTTGTGGACCTTCTGAAAAGACCCCAGGGATCTACAGAGGTCCCCAGTCCACACTTTGAAAATCTCTGGGTTATCACATCAAATATGTTGTGGTAGAAAATTGTGTGGATAATGAAATAACTGTGCAGCCTTTAAATGATGGCTCTGGTACAGCTGAACCTATTAACATACAAGAATGTCCACAAATAGAATGTAGAGCAGGAGCCTCTTTTTTTTTTTTAACCAAAATTCACAGCCCGTACACAGAAAAAGGTCTGGATGGCTACACCAAGTTTTCAGTTGTAGGTTATTTCTGGTGAGTCTAGTGGAATTGTGAAGTGCCATCAAGCCAGTTCCAACTCATAGCAACCCCATAGAGGGTTTTCAAGGAGTGGCTGGTGAGTTTGAACCACCAACCTTGAGATCCAAAGGACCTGTGGTCCAGTACTTATCCAAAGTGCCACACCAGGACTCTCCAATCTTCATTTTCAGCTTTCTTTTGTCTATGTTTTTGTAACATGTGTTGTATATATACTCAGAATCAGTCTATCCAACACCCCATAACTGTTTTTACTCACATAGTGATTCTCAGTAGTAGTTTTGCCCCTACAATGCATAGGGCTGCCCCCCAAAGAAAGAATTATCTGGACCACAATATCAAAACCAACATTAAGAAATTCTGCCTTGTATCAAATAAAAATTTTTGCCATATTCTCCCTCCCCTGTCCTTACCCCTTTTCATTTGCACCTAACTTAAATAAATTCACTGAGGGAATGTAATGTTCTTGAAATCACCAGGTAGTCAAACTACAGCTCCAAACCAAAGACTATTTTAGGGGAGAAAAAAAAATAAGTCAAATAATTAATTAGGAGTATGGGGCAAAGATTTGGAGTCCTGGTATGACGCTGTGGGATAAAGCACGGGACCGCAAGGTCAGTTTGAACCACAACGTCATCAGTTCAAACTTACAGCTACTCCTTGGAGACCCTATACAGGGTTGCTATGAGTTGGAAGCAGCCCGACAGCACTTAACAACATGGTCAAGGATTATTAAAACACTAAAAACTAGGTGGGATTTCATTTTATTGGAGAAAGGTTCAAAATTGTTCCTTAATGTGTTCCCTTTATTCTCAAGATTGAGTGCTACTGTAAATCAATTCACAGTATGTGGAAGAGCATCCATTCACAGCTTTTGAAAGACTGCAGCTGGTCGCCAAGGCTGCTGCCCTTGTGTAGGTGGGGCAGGCTGTTGCTAATGTTTCCTTGTATTGTGACGGGTGTGGAAAGAACAGTCATTACATTTCACTGAAATGAGCTTCTTGTGTTGAGCCAGGATTCAAACCCAGCTAAAGAAATCGGAATGTTTTCCTTAGGTATTTGTTAACTTGGCATAGCATCCTTTAGCATTTTTTACTTGCTCTTGAGCAAAACCCAAACTAATTTTCAATTTTTTGTTGTAAGGTTTTGTTTTACCTCCCACTAATTGTTGTTGGATAAGCACTGGACTACAAGGTCGGGTTTAACCTCAAGGTTGGCGGTTCAAAACTCACCAGCCATTCACCGTATATGGGGTCAATATGAGTCGGAACCGACTCGACAGCACTTAACAACAGTAACCAAAAGGGACATCTTTCTAAGTTTAATAGAAAAAGTGGCTCACTGTTAAGTGTGGGTCACTCTAAGTTATATCTGTTGCTTTTGCCTTATTGCTTCCTAATTATTTTTGTTTGCTTGTTTTTAGAGAAGCTTCCGATAATCTTGCAGTGCAAAATCTGAAGGGGTCATTTTCTAATGCTTCAGGTATAATTACTAATTATAATCTGGACGGAATAATGCCTATTTGTCACTTAATGCATGTATGTTTGCTCTCAAACCTAACAACTGGGTCTAATTACTTGTTACATCAGAAATTTGATTTTAAAGTTACAGTAATTTATCCAATAAATTGTCCCAAGTAGAACTTGTTCTACTTTGAAAGCCACATCCAAGAACATGATAAAATGACTGGGAGTCAGTAATACTTCTGACCGATTTCTTTCTTACTGTATTATTGTTACAAATGGTTTCATCTTCCTTTGACTCCATGTACTGTATAAATTAAAGGCAGATAATTTTCCTAGAAATCTGCCCAGTACAGAAGATGGAAGAAAAAGTCTTTTGAAGTTCATTAGAGAAAGATACTATATTGTTTTCATGCAAACAGTGGGAGAGCCATGTGATTAACACATTTAATTTCATCATGTATCTGTCAGCCTTTTTGAAAAAGAAGTGTTCCAGTTAAGTCTATGATAAGACATTTTTTAACTTTTAAAACTAACAGAATTGGGTCTTACAGGTTCAGTTCTGTTAGCATTGACTTTGTGCTACCATTTCAGATGCTTTTAGGAAATTTTTTTAAATACTAGAATTTAGGAAGTACTAAGTTTGATTTTCTTGGGTTCAGGAAGTTTTGGTGATGATACTGCATCTCTGTACCTTTATTGTCTCCCACCCCTACCTGAGGACAGAGGCTGGTGGTCTTAAAGTCCTGGGCTCTTTCCTGGTCAAGGGCAGATGGTTGCAGAGATAGAAAACAAGACCCAGATGTAATCTAGCTCTTGGAATGGCGACAAGATGGGCTCTCTCTAATAAACTCCACTGTCTCTCTGTGTTGTATTTCTGAGAATGAACCAGGAAAAGCTATGTATTTAGAAACTATCTTTGTTGCAGGCTTATTTGAGATCCACGGAGCAACAGTTGTTCCCAATGTGAGTGTGATTGCACCAGAGAAGCTGTCGGCCAGCACTAGGAGGCGGTATGAAACTCAGGTACATAGGCCAGCGCGGCAGAAAAGAAAGTACACAGGGAAGGAAAATAAAGTTTCCTGAAAATGGTTTTTCCCAATCCCCTAACTCAGTGGCTTCCAGAATTTCATCAGCACAAAGCATCTCTCTGGTGCTAGAGTTCTACTCTTACAAAGAAGCATCAGCAGGCAGCTAAATTCAGCTGTTTGTCAGAGTGCATTGGATCTACACAAAAATTGTTAAGTCTGGCTCTAGTGGCAAGTTGGGGTTTGTTTATATTTTATATAACAAAGCAGAAGAAATCTACCACAAAGACTTGAACCAGGCTTCTCATTTCATACATGTTAGTACCTGCTAAAATGCCTGAGGCTGGGCTACTTGCTGGGAAAAATATAAAGACATATAACATGGCCCCAGTCTTAAAGAGCTTAGAAGTCTATGCATTGTATATAATTAGAGAACAGCAGAAGAGAATAAGTAATAGAATGGTGAATTCAGTGCATTGAATGTTAGTGTGTGTTGTGGGAAAGACTTAAATGTATACTCTGGGTAATTAAAAACAGTGAGCCCTAAGGATTTTAAATGGGTAACGAGGAAAAGTGAGGGTGTTCCAAATGGATGGAGACTGGGAAAGGTGCTACAGACACACTGATAAATACAGCCAGGACACTAGCCAATCATTAGGGAAACATTAGAGCCCACATCTAGAAATTCAGTTAGATTATAATACAAAATTTCAGATACTAATTTTTGTAAGCTCTTTTAGCCCCAGTAATGGGTTTCGCCTATATTACCCTGCTAATTACGAATCGGGCTGTGAACCTTAAGGTCAGCGGTTCAAAACTACCAGCCGCAGGAGAAAGATGAGGCTTTCTACTCCCATAAAGATTTACACCCTCAGAAACCCTGTACAAGGTCACTCTGGGTCGAAACCGACTTGATGGCACTTAACAACAACAATTATAGGTCAGCAGTTCGAATTCACCAGCTGCTCCTCAGGAGAAAGATGAGGCTTTCTACTCCCATAAAGATTTACACCCTCAGAAACCCTGTACAAGGTCACTCTGGGTCGAAACCGACTTGATGGCACTTAACAACAACAATTATAGGTCAGCAGTTCGAATTCACCAGCTGCTCCTCAGGAGAAAGATGAGGCTTTCTGCTCCTGTGAAGATTTACAGCCTTGGTAACCCTAGACAGGGGTTGTGAATTGGAACCAGTTCGATGGCACACCACCACCGTGACCACCTATAGTTGTTTCTAAAGGACGTTGAGTAGAAACCTTTTTTTCATGTCTTCCTACAGCTTTTATCACCTATGTCAATGATATTTCTGTGTTCTAATTTGCTGTTGCCTTCTCCATTTTTCCAAATTTAGCTCTAATTTTAAAATGTCTTTGCTTCCAAGTACACTATTTCAAGTTCACTGAGCCTTTAGTGGGTATTTCAGAATTATAAAGAAATAAGCAACAAGATCATTAAACACATGATCAAAAATAGGTTATAAAAAAAAAAAAAGAATAGGTTATTAAAATCTTTTTTCCCCTGAGATCTCCCATCTTTCTGAAGCCGATTAAAACACATCTTTAGCTAAGGTTTAGAATCTTCCAAGTCTTGCTGTCTTTGTTTCCTGGAATTGAAAATAAAATGGCAAGAAAGATGGCATGGTTTGGCATGTCCTGAATTCTGTTTTCTCCTTATTAGGTACAAACTCGACTCCAGACCTCCCTTGCCAATTTACATCAGAAGAGCAATGAAATTGAAATTCTGGCTGTAAGTCAATCCTTTTAGCATTTTGAAGATGGCTTCTGTCCATACAAGGGGCTCGCTCTGATGGTGCCGTGGTTTAATTACTGGAGTGCTAACCACAGGTTGCTGTTTTAAACTCACCAGTCATTCCACAGGAGAAAGATGAGGCTATCTGCACCCATAAAGGTTGAGTTTTGGAAACCATTGAGAGCAATTTGTCCTATGGGGGTCTCTGAGTTGGAATCAACTCAAGTGACAGTGGATTGGTTTTTGGTTTTTTGGGGGGTGGGGTTTGGTTTTCTGTCCATACCTTATTTTCCCAGAGTTCAGGGCTCTTTTGCTCGGTGTCAACAGTATTTGGGTGCAGGCCTTGTCACTAACGTGAGCCACCTACAGTCTAAACCTATAAAAGACTGGGGAGAAAGCTGAACGGTTCTGTTTGATTTTCATTTCTTACTTTATTTCTCTGAAAGGGGTTAAGGGGAGTAGGAGGATGACAACAAAAATCGCTTCTCTAAATATTTCAGAGCTGTACCTCACTAAGCCTACACTGAGTTCATGTAGCAATGCCAACCCTCGGGGGTGCAGACAGAGAGAGCCGTGTCCACAGTTCATCAGTTCGTTGTTGGTTCAGCTTGTCTAGCAGAATAGCTTCCCAGGCTCTGCCAGGTCTAGTCATCCTACTGCTCCATCCAAAATGGCACCAAAGCAGTAGATGCCTAGAGTTCCCTGACAGATGATGTGCATTTCTGTATACTTACAGGTAGATCTACCCAAAGACACAATCGTCCAGTTTTTATCATTGGAGGTAAGCAAGATGGACTTTTCTGCACTGTGATGTATAAAATCCCAAAGCTTTGCTGATTTGCCAAAAGAAAACTGGAACGGGCATTGGGTTTTCTGAGTGACAACTGCTTTTCTGGTAGGTCTAGGAATCCAGTAGCATTGTTCCTTTTATGTAACATATATGGTATGGCGCTGTGGGTTAATGCGCTGGACTGCAGAGTCGGTTTGAACCACAAGGTCACGGTTCAAGCTCACCAGCCACTCCTTAGAAACCCTATGCAGGGTCACTATGGGTCAGAGCCAACTCCATGGCACTAAACACCAGTATTACTAAATCGTATGTGGGAGGGAATCATACTGTCTCCTTTCAGAGATCTTATCTGTTTAACAAATGCACAGTGCTTTCAGTGTGTATCAGACACGCTCTAAAAGGCCTTTCTAATCACGTTGTTGTTGTAAGTGCTGTCGAGTCGATTCCCACCTATAGCAACCCTGTATAGGGTTTCCGAGGAGCCGCTGCTGAGCTTACAGTTCAAATGACTTTGTAGTCTGACACATTAGCCCACAGCGCCACACCAGGACTACATTTTACAAGTTATTCATGTAATCAAAACAATCCTTAAAAGATTATTAAGTGTAGTCGAGTTGGTTCTGACTCATAGTAACCCTGTATAGGGTTTCTAAGGAGTGGATGATAGGTTTGAACCAGCAAACTTTGGTTAACAGTCCAATGCTTATCCTGTGGCACACCAGTTCTGTTAATAGCCCCCATTTTACAGACAAGTGAATGGAAGTAGAAAGATTACATATCTCACACAGTCACCTAGCTAGTAACAGAGCCAGGATTCAAACCTAGACAGACTAGTGGGAACTTTGTTCATCGTCCTACTATGCTGCCTCTCAAATAAGCACTTATTCCAGCTAAGGAAGCTCTCTTATAGAGGCAGAATTCTACAGAAGTCTCTTGTAAAAATGTAAATTGATTTAGGTCCTTTTTTTATGGATACAATGTCTTATTATCCAATAGCCTATTAAGAACGTTAGAAAATTTGTTCTTTTTACTATTAAGAATGGTCAGCTATAATTCACAATAAAACATTTAAATAAAAAAAAAAAAAAAGAATGCTCAACAAAAGTTTAATTAACTACAGCTCAATCTTTGCAATGTGACGTACCAAAGAATATGATTTTGCTTATCCTCTGTGTAGGCCCAAATGAAATGATAAATGAACTTAGCCCCATAACATTTCATAATACATTTTCTGTTGCTATTGCTCCGCGGGAGAAAGATGAGGCGTTCTGCTCCCGTAAAGATTTACAGCCTTGGAAACCCTGTACAGGGTCGCTATGAGTCGGAACCAACTCCACGGCACATAACAACAACAACAAGCTTGCAAATAAGCCTACACCACTGTACTAGCATTCTGGTGTGGCGCTGTGGGTTAATGCGCCAGACTTCAGAGCCATTTGAATTGCAAAGTCGGCAGTTTAAGCTCACCAGCTACTCCTTAGAAACCCTATACAGGGTTGCTATGGGTCAGAATCGACTCGATGGCACTTAACAACAACTGTACTGGCAATTTATTGATTTACGATACTATCCAATGGATACACACTGGTGGTGATATCCCCATTTCACACAAATTAAACTAAAATCAGCAATAACAGGTCTGTCACGTTAGCACTCTAGGGCCTGCAGCATGGTTAAACAGGCTCCACTAATATAGGCTTGTGTGAAAATGTTTCAGAAGAACCACCAGCTTTTCTGGCTCCCTAGAACTGATTTCTTCTGAGGCAAAAGCATTGGCATTTCGTTAGTGACCCAGAAATAGTGAGTCCATAAGCCCTAGTGTATTAAGTCTCCTCTTTTTTTCCTAGTGGGATGCTGATGAACAGGCATTTAACACATCAGTCAAGCAGCTGCTGTCACACCTACCAAAGCAAAGATACCTCAAATTAGTCTGTGACGAAATTTATAACATCAAAGTAGAAAAAAAGTAAGTTTTCACTTGGGTGTAAGCTTCACAAGGGTTTTAGAGTAACATACACAAATATCTCCTGGCTTGCTGAGGTTTGATGGCTGGTGTTGGAACTACAGCTGGCAAGCTGTTCATCAGTGGCAAAACAGTGCTCCCAGAAGTAGCTATCCCAAGTATAATTTTGTTCACCCAGGTAACTTACTTCTGAAAGTATGTTTAAATGACCTACTTTGTTTTATGCCCTTTTTTTCAAAATATCAGTCGTTCACATGATCATTCACTAACAAGGCAACAGCGAAGCCTGTGGGATGAAGAGTGACCTCATGGGGGGCCCGATACTTCAGACCTTAGCCAATCTGAGCTCCTATAAAACAGTTTGTTAGTGATTCATCCACCACTGGCTTAAACAAGTCTCCTACAGTAAAGTGTTCTAAAACTGTTTTTTAACTGGTCTTCACCTTTTGCATATATAGCTCTATCCTTGTAATCTACATTTTTCCCTTGTTTGCAGGGTGTCTGTGCTGTTCCTGTACAGCTACAGAGATGACTACTACAGAATCTTGTTTTAGCCCTAAAACCTGTTGCTCCAGTGTTCCGATGGACAAGGGCTCATCCTATGGAATGTTGTACATTCACTGTCATTTTAAAGTAACTTTAAACTCTAAAATGTGGTCTACCAAGTTGAGCTTTGTCAGATTGTCATGTGTACTGTAATTTTATAAACCTATCTTTTTGAATATAATAAATGGTTTCATATGTCTGCTGCTTTTTTAATAGCAAATCTATTAGCATGAAAAGTTTTTCAAGCTGGAACCTAGGAAACAGCCTTTTCTTCCCACAGCTACAACAAGGCATGTGTAAATGTCCACATTCAAGGGCAGAAAGAAACCAAGTCACCAAGTACCTTCCAGTTTTTATAAGCCATGAGATAATACATTTTATAAAATTGTTACCTTTATATACCAAACCACTCTTCAGTTAAACTCTATGAGAAACTGCAATAAATGAACAAACAAAATATTTAAAAAAAAAAAAAAAAAATGTTACCTTTCAATTCCAATAGCTTAGAAGAGGAGCCTATCCATTAACCCAGTCATTCCAGGATTAGGCGCTACTGCCAGAAATATTAAAGATGGGCACAGGAATAAACAAGAGACAACTGGTGCTGATAAATAGATGGGTTTAATGATACCACGGCTCTTCACTGAGATGGCTACTTAGACTTTAAACTACAATGCAGGAATATACAACATGCAACAGAGACCTATTAACTAAAGGTCTAAAATTAACTGACTCCTTACCACAACTAGCCTGTAAACATTGCATACCTTCTTCTGCCCTTCCTCCCTCCAAAATGAGAAAACAGTCACTGTGACTTTGTGGTCAAAAGTAAGAATCAAAGGAAAAAATAGCAACTCCATGGTCAGTTGGTGAAGTACAGCAGCCCTCACTGTGCAGCTTTGCTCTTCTTACTCTTGCTCTTTTTGTCCCTCTTCTTCAGTCCATCCATGTTAGCTCTGAGGAGATTTGAATAGGCCTGAAAAAGCGAGCGCATGATCTTAGTGGGGAGAGTTGCAAGATATCTACATAATGATACTGTTGTGTGTATTTGTCAGTTGCCTTTGCATGGGCTCTGGCTCAGGGGAACCATGGACAACATAAAACTACCTGATCCACCTTCCTGGCCGGTGGTACACTCAAGTCCACTGTGAAACCACTGTGTATTCTGAGTGTCTTCCAACGTAGGGGGCTCATCTCCCATCATTATATTGGATGATACACTATATAAGGATCCATACAGTTTTCACTGGCTAATTCTTAGTAATATATTGCCAGGCCTCTCTTCCTACTCTTAGTGTGACAGCTTTACTAAAGTGACCCTGCTATTACTTGAAATACTAGTGGCACAGCTTACAGTATCAAGCGCCACAGTATGGTAAACTGCCAGATGGGTGATGATGAATTTAGGATCACCATAATCAGAAAGCCTACCTGATAGAGAACAGTCCCATGAAACACTTGTATTTTAAGGAAAATGACATGAAAAGTAATTACACTTTTTCATTACTGTACCTTCTGCAACACACCCTTCACAGTGATTTGCACATACTTTTTTTACAAAAAAAAGACAGGCATTTTCTTTAACCATCCTACAAGTAGAAGATACCAGATGACTAACTTTATCAAACCTAGCTGGAAAACTAGGAAGGAGGCATTATCAGTGCTGAAAGCAGCATCCATAGCCTGGCAACTCTGTATTTGATATCAGATTTATCAAGAGCAGGGCCCCCAAACACTAGTCTTACCCAGAGGTCAGTATCATGCCTACTCTTTCCCTGAGAAGGATGGCATAGGGAGCACGAGAAACTCACCATCTGAAACTTATTCACTTCTTTGGAGCTCACCTGGAAAACAAGGGGGATAAAAGCCACCTGTTATCCACATAGGACTCCTCTGCCCCACCCCAGATCATCTCTCTGAAGCTACATGGGGACATCCTAATTAAAATATGCCTTCCTAGGATAAGCATTGGAATGCTAACCTCAAGGTCAGCAGTTCAAACCTACCAGTCACTCCTCAGAAGCTCTATAAAATGGGGTTGCTCTAGGTCAGAACTGACTTGGTGGCACTTAACAACCTGCCTTCCATTAATTCAGGCAAATTTAAGCACAGTGTAAATTTCCGTAAGAAAAGAAATTCCACCTCTGAAACAGATTACTTAGGTTTTTGTATTTCAAGATACCCAACTTTGTTTTTAAACCACACAATTTTGCTTCAATCTAAGTCTTCTCAAGGCAACTTATAAAGGAATACTTACCAACTAATTATGGTCTAACGGTCTCATGAATGTCTCCTACTAATGTGAATAACCGGCAGTCTGAGTCAGCCCCCGCAGAATAAAGAAGCACGCGCTCAGAATCCAGGGAGTCTCTCACTTGACCATATTCAACCTCCATCTATAAAGGGAAGGCTAGGACTCTGTTCACTAAATGTCTGTCCTCTCAGGAGTCCTGTGGTGCCACACTGAAGGATAAGCACAGGGCTGCTAACCACAGGCAATGGCTCAAACTCAACAGCCGCTCCTCAGAAACCCTATACAGCATTGTTATACGTCAGAACGGACTCGACAGCACTTAACATCAACATATCCTCAGAAAGATATAGTAATAATTAGCTTAACAAGCATTTGGTCCCAAGAAACTCTTCATTGAAGGCCTATCACAATACTACAGGATAAGGAATTAAATATTTATGCTCATTGCTCCTTAGAGAGTTACTGTTAAGTAAGGACCAACATACTACTTTTATTTCTACAAAAAATGTTAACAAGAACTAATCATTTCTTAATTTGTTTACTCTCTACCTTCTTCATTTTAATTTTCTTAAACAATTTATTGTGCTTTAGGTGAAAGTTTACACAGCAAATTAGTTTTCCATCTAATAATTCACACTTGGATTGTTCCATAATGGGGCCAGGGGCTCAGGCCCATGGTACCGGGGACACCAAGGACAACTGGCACAACACAGTTCACAAAGACATTGTTCTACAGACACTTTGGTGACTAGTGACTAGGGTCTTAAAAGCTCACGAACAGCCATCTAAAGAGCACCTACTACCTCCTTGTGTGGAGAAAGAAATGATGGAAACTGAAGAAGCCTGGATACAATCAGTCCCACAGATGAATGGACCACCTAAAAGAACTAGGTGCTGCCAGCTACCACTCCCACCTCCTCGGAAGGGATCACATTACCAAGTCCTGGATAGAGTGGTAATGGAACAAAAATCATAAAAATGACTGGCAAAACCCCTTAGGCACCCTTCAGTTCTGGAACTGAGTCGTTTCTGACTCAGCCACCCTGTATAGGGTTTCCGAGGAGCAGCTGGTAAACTGGAACAGCTAACCTTGCAGCTGAAACCAACCTTACAGTCCAGTGCTTATCCTACAGCACCACACCAGGTCTCCATAGCCAAACAACAGACAGGTCTGTAAGGGGAACAATAACACAAGGGAAGTATATACTACTTAAAATAATCAACCATTTGCAATCAGAAGGGCATCATTTATCCAAAGACAAGGTCCAGAAGGTTAGAATAGGACACAAGGAAGAATGGAAACGGAAACACAGGGAGGAAGTGGGATAAAGATGTTACAATGTGGAGATTGTAATCAATGACATAAAGCAAAATGTGTATGAATTGTTGAATGTAAAACTGATCATCTGCTCTGTAAACTTTCACCCAATTCACAGTAAAAAGTTAAAAAAGAAATCCATGTACAAAAGAAAAAGAAAAGTTATTCCGTGACATGGTTATAGCAGTCCCCCGTTCCACCCTGGGTTCCTCATTTCCATGTGTCTAGTTTCCCTGCCCCTCCCAGCCTTCTCATCTTTGGTTTTGGATAAATGCTGCCTTTTTGGTCTCAAAAGAAATGGTTACTCGAAGGAACCCATTCCTCGTGGGTGGTGTTATTTTATACATCAGTCTACTGCTTGGTTGAGAGGTAGCCTCTGAAAGTGGCTTTCATTCCACATTAAAAAGGTAGCTTTGGGGGGAGGGGGGGTTCCTTCAGTCTACATCTTTCAAACCAGTAAGTCTGGTCTATTTTTGAATTTGTCCTACATTTTTCTCCCATTCTAACCAGGCCCTTCTATTGTGTCCTTGATCTTAACAGTAGTGGTAGCTGGGCACCATCTAGTTCTTCTGGTCTCAGGCTAGAGCAGTTCGTAGTTCATGTGGACCATTAGTCCTCTGGACTAATTCCTTCCTTGAGTCTTAGGTTTTCTTCATTCTTCTTTGCTCCGAGTGGGAAGGAACCAATATGTGTCTTATGGCTGCTTGCAGGCATTTAAGTAAGACCCCAGACACTACTCAACAAACTAGGATGCAGAACACTGTCTTTATGTGCTATATGCCACTTGATCAGATGTCCCTCAAGACTATATGGCCCTTAGCCTTAAAGCCCAGCAGCTCAGTCCTATGAAGTATTTGGTTATGTCTAAGAAGTTCTCATAGGTCTGCTCCCACTCTGTGCTCTATTGTATATATATGTAAAAAAAAATCCATACCCATACCTATGTATAAGGAGCCCTCATGGCATATGGGTTGAGCCAGTAACCATAAGTTTGGTGGTTCAAACCTACCAACTGCCCACAGAGTAAGATAAGACTGTCCTCGCCCATAAAGACTAAGTCTCACAAACCCCAAGGAACAGTTCTACTCTGTCCTAGAGAGTCATTATGAGTTGGAACTATGAGTTTGGTTTGGGTTTTATACCTAAATATATTCATGCAGGGACAGCCTCGTACAATCTCCCACTCCTAAGGAGCATAGAGATCTACTTATGTGTCTACTCATAAATGACTTTATTACTACTATTGTTTCAGGATTGTACACATACGTTACAGTATTTACCATGGTGGCAGTGGTAGTGTGCTATCAAGTCAGTTCTGACTCACTGCAACCCTGTATATGGTTTCCAAGGCTGTAAATCCTTACAGGAGCAAAATGCCTCATCTTTCTCCACGAAGCGCCTGATGGATTCAAACCACAGTCCTTGTGGTCAGCAGC